ACCAAGCCCTGCAAATGTGCAGAAAGCGGGCACCACTTCACCTACTCTCCGCCGCCAGCAATGTATAATTTTACCTTCTTAATCTTGGCCTTATGCACAGCAGCAGGTGCCATATGATTATATGGATTTTACATTACATTGACATTAAGAATCCCACGAAGACGATTACGAAGGTTGCAAACTATGGATTCTAGTCAAGACGAATATGGGATTCGAATCTACTATCATCGGATCCTAGTGCTTCTAAAGATCGCACAAAGCTCGCACACCGCGATATAGCTGAATTACTGTTCAAAGCAGCGTAGTCCCTGAACCAGATCTGTCAGGAGGATGAGACAAACTAAATTTAGATCTAGGGACATGGTATTGTGTATTAGTCGTCAGGTATTGTGTATTAGTTGTCAGGTATTGTGTATTAGTCGTCAGGTATTGTGTATTAGTTGTCACAACATGACGACACTGACCAAATAAGACATTGTGGTTATATAGCTGCCGTTTATAATGGGAAAGGTACACTTTTTTTCTTAAAGAGATGGCAAATTTCAAAGTTGTTGATCGTGACGTCTGACTTGCAACGGTGAGTGAGTATGCTTTTTTCACCAATGATCACGCGTATGTCACTATAGACATCACGTCGGGAATATGTTAAATACATTGCACGTCGCGTCCAAGATTATTGCACTTATTTAGCGATGTGCTTACACGTGTGTGTGTGTGTGTGCGTGCGTGCGTGCGTGCGTGCGTGCGTGCGTGTGTGTGTGGCTGCTTCTACCAGTCCGGACTGATGCCGATTTGTAGTGCTAGCTCACTGAGATACCATGCCGCAATTTAACATGAATACCCCACTCAGACACAGTATGCTGACTCCGAGCCGACCAGTCCTTGTTTCGGCCCCTTAATGCCGAGCGCCAGACAGGGTTATCGAACCCCGACCTTCCGCTCTCCGGGCGGACGCCCTACCACTAGACCACGGAGGCGGTCCATCCTGGGCTGGAAAACGGAACGCTTAAATAACAAGATTTCCCCAGCAACCGCGAATTTGAACAGATGTAAAAACGATTGTAGAATTCACAAATCACATCTCGTCCTCTGAGATAGACTTAGTACAATGATAAGGGGGCAGTAAAAGACACGTTTTGCGTGAAAGCAGCCATAATTAATAACGAGAGAAAAAAACATATTCGTTACTTACCAGTATCTGTGTTAACGTTGCCCTTGGGATCGTTAAGACTACTGCACTGCCTCCCGAACCGCCATTAAAATACGAGCAGACCAAAGAACATAAACCACGTCCATTGTTGAATCGCGACTGGAACAGAAAAAAACCAGAAATTTTGCGAAAATGTACATATGATTTGTTCAGAAGACGAAACGGCCCTGTTTATCTTTCATGATGACGAAATATCAACATAGCCTGCTCTTGAAATGCGTATACTATGTATATTTACTGTGTTGGTCAGATTTGCATGATACGCGGGTGCTTGTTCGCATTCTTGACCGAAGCGCTACCTTTCACTTAATTGACTGGTAGTGAAGGCGAGACTGACTGAGACTGTGCGAGACATTGCGAGACGGCGCTAGACTGTGCGAGGCATTCGTGACCAACGCGTGTTATTCCGGGACAAGCCGAATAGCGACTCGTGCCCCTCTCGTGGCCATTTTTGCGACTAGGTTCCGTCTTAGAGCAAACGGGCATACCTAAAAAAATTGTCAACTCGTTGCGTAATGGTTCACATATATTTCCCCATATATTATATATATTTCTGATGCAATTTAAAGCACATCGGGACATGCGGAATTATACAGTATGACTGAACACATTTAACTGTGCCTTGGGTATATTTTTAGATGCGAAACATATGTAAAATCAAAATTTTTTTCTGAGGGATTATTTGACAAAGAACTCGAAATCATACGCGCATTCTGATTGGTTTGTCGTATTTTCGCACATAACATTCATCGAGAGGGGGACGAGTCTTCTTGCAGGTTACGGAAAGGGGCGAGTGGTGACGAATGTGTGCGAGGCGGTGCGAGACGGCGCAAGAAACACGTGTTGTATCGTTATGGTCTATTCGTCCAAAATAAAGCTGATCTCCACGACTTTGCACATTCTTTCGAGGCCTACTACAATGTTAAACTTAAAAATACAATGTTTGATCAGAGACCATATATCGGTATATGGCCTCTGGTTTGGTATTCATATTATGCCGTGTCAATGTCAAGATGTTCGTGAGCATCAGCTAGTTCCGAAGTCAAATACACAAACAACAGCCAAAATTCTTCGACTTGTCTTCAAATTGGAGACAAGCAAGAGAGACGGGCCAAGACAGCGAGGCTCGTTCACTCTGGGGGTACAGAGGTATGCAGGAGATATAATCAAAGGTATTGTACATTCGAGAACAAACGGATCAACATGTATGTGTATTAGACAAAACGGATCAACATGTATGTGTATTAGACAAAACGGATCAACATGTATGTGTATTAGACAAAACTGATCAACATGTATGTGTATTAGACAAAACGGATCAACATGTATGTGTATTAGACAAAACGGATCAACATGTATGTGTATTAGACAAAACTGATCAACATGTATGTGTATTAGACAAAACGGATCATCATGTATGTGTATTAGACAAAAACGATCATCATGTATGTGTATTAGACAAAAACGATCATCATGTATGTGAATTAGACAAAAACGATCAACATGTATGTTTATTAGACAAAACGGATCAACATGTATGTGTATTAGACAAAACGGATCAACATGTGTGTGTATTAGACAAAACGGATCAACATGTTTGTGTATTAGACAAAACGGATCAACATGTATGTGTATTAGACAAAACGGATCAACATGTATGTGTATTAGACAAAACGGATCAACATGTATGTGTATTAGACAAAACGGATCAACATGTGTGTGTATTAGACAAAACTGATCAACCTGTTTGTGTATTAGACAAAACGGATCAACATGTATGTGTATTAGACAAAACGGATCATCATGTATGTGTATAAGACAAAAACGATCATCATGTATGTGTATTAGACAAAAACGATCAACATGTATGTGTATTAGACAAAACGGATGAACATGTATGTGTCTTAGACAAAACGGATCAACATGTATGTGTATTAGACAAAACGGATCAACATGTGTGTGTATTAGACAAAACGGATCAACATGTGTGTGTATTAGACAAAACGGATCAACATGTGTGTGTATAAGACAATACGGATCAACATGTATGTGTATTAGACAAAACGGATCAACATGTATGTGTATTAGACAAAACGGATCAACATGTATGTGTATTAGACAAAACTGATCAACATGTTTGTGTATTAGACAAAACGGATCAACATGTATGTGTATTAGACAAAACGTATCAACATGTATGTGTATTAGACAAAACGGATCATTATTTATGTGTATTAGACAAAACTGATGAACATGTTTGTGTATTAGACAAAACGGATCAACTTGTATGTGTATTAGACAAAACGGATCAACATGTATGTGTATTATACCAGAGCTAAAGCTTGATTTCAGCGGTGATGTCAAGGCCAGCACGCCACGTTACTGATGCGGGGGTAGTTCATTACGAAAAACGGGATCGGGTGGTCACACTCGCTGACTTGGCTGATGCATGTCATCGTATCCCAATTGCGTGGATCGATGCTCATGATGTCAATCACTGGATTGTCTGGTCCAGACTAGATTATTTACAGAACGCCGTCATATTGCTGGAATATTGCTGAGTGCGGCGTTAAACAACAAATAAACAAAGAAACAAATCATTACGAAAAAAAACAAGCTGCGGTTGTGTGTTCAGGTGACATTTATTCCATGATTTAGACATCAATCCCTCAATAAATCACCCTGTAATAAAATATAACATGATATACTATACATACTATAGTATTCAAAGATACGGCAGCATAGTAGTTAAATCACAGTTTGAGCAGTCACATTCATCTATACATGCAACACACACACACACACACACACACACACACACACACACACACACACACACACACACATTGCATCATTGTAGATAACTTATATTAAATACAATTTACAGAACTTTGAAATCAGTTATACATATATCAAATGTCTCTTATCATTACTGAATGTATCAGTTTCACACTATATGAATATAAGTAGCCGTATCACTAAGAGTAGGAATATATATACATAATTACTTTAATGTGTATGTGTGCGTGTATTGGTATGTGTGTTAAAAGATATCACATATGTACATGTTTTATGTTTTCAAATAATCCGATGTGGAGGGGAATGAGAGGATAGATCTGTACAGGATATTATTGTATTGGTAACTCTCCCACCCACTATCGTCTGAGTGTGTGAGTGACTATGGTTTTACGCCGCTTTCAGCAACATTCCAGCAATATCACGGCGGGTGACACCAGAAATGGGCCTCACACATTGTACCCATATCGGGAATCGAACCCGGGTCTTCGGCGTGACGAGCGAACACTTTAACAACGACCGCCCCTGTAATAAAGAGGATGAAAACTTTGTAAGCGTATGTTTCTGTGTTATATTGTGAGATTTTGTTTCTTTATTGCAGACACAACCGTTTTGGATTCACCCCTGAGAGCTGGTCTATAGTAAGGCGCCATCTGAAAGTAGGTCGCAAATAATGAAAGTGGGTCACCCATATGCAAATCTAGATCGTCAATACACGACACGAATAATATGAGCTTCTCATTTCAGCGCATTTGAGGGAAATGTGTCAATATAAAAAAAAATCTGGAGAAAATAATATTCGTTCATTCAACCATTAATGCTTTATGGAGCTTTTATCTCTGTTATCATTGTTGTGTCAGCTCTGTTTTGATGTTTTATCAGCTCTAGGGTTCATGTTAAAAAAGCATCTGGCTGAATTTCATCAGCTCTTCAACGCGACCCATTTCATCAAGGGCTGACCCCACACACGTCACAGCCAATCAGAGTACCAGGAAACGTCATGCTCGAGGCACGGTGCTCCACACCTATCCCGTACATAATATGATCCAAGTCAGTAGCTGTCGTGTGGCCATAACGGATAAGATTCGATTGGAGGGAACACTGCTGAAAAAACGGAAACCATTGGATTCTTCTGAGGACGAGCGGAAAACACAATGACCAGCAAAAGTAGGTATATTTAGTAGAGTATTGCACGTATATAGCGAGGTGCATGCAGTGTGCTAGCCCACTTAGATACCATGCCGCAGTTTAACATGAATACCTCTCTCAAACACAGTATACTGACTCCGAGCCGACCAGTCCTGTTTATCCCCTTAATGCCGTGCACCAGACAGGGTAACAACAAGTACCATCTGTTAAAGTCTTCTGGTATGACGCGGACGGGGATCGAACCACCGACCTTCAACTCTCCGGACAGACGCTCTACCAATAGACGACATGGGCGGACCTCTGTCACACGAAGAGTAAGATTGTAGTCAACAGTTCATTCGACATAAAAAAACCAGTTCCAATTGCAGGCTGTTTGCTGAACGTGTTTTTCCTATGAATATTGGGTGTATCCCTATGAATATTGGGTGTATTCCTATGAATATTGGGTGCATTCCTATGAATATTGGGTGTATCCCTATAAATATTGGGTGTATTCCTATGAATATTGGGTGTATCCCTATGAGTATTGGGTGTATTCCTATGAATATTGGGTTATGACCCCTTTAACTAATCGTATCGTATTACATCCAGAGCCTAAACATATATATCGCATCATGTTTCAATCGTACAGGCTGATTCATTGTGACAACGTGCTCATGTAAACAGTTTTACTTCGATTATTGAAAGTACCTACGTCAAGGTCAAATGCAGGACTATAAATGACACTCGGCTGGCCTCGACCCCAATTTGGAGAGAGAGAGAGAGAGAGAGAGAGAGAGAGAGAGAGAGAGAGAGAGAGAGAGAGAGAGAGAGAATTTGACATCCCACGCCCATTTCTGGTGTCCCCTGCCGTGATATTGCTGGAATATTGCTAAAAGCGGCGTAAAATCAAACTCACTCACTCACTCACTTATCAATATGCTGATGTGCAACTTTAAATATGAGCTCACTGTGGTCTGATCTGAAATGCTACATATAGGAGCATCGGTAAGGTAATCACAATTCTACGATCAACAAACCGCCTCCGTGGTCTAGTGGTACTTGTTGTTACCCTGTCTGGCGCTCGGCATAAAGGGGCTTAAACAGGACTGGTCGGCTCGGAGTCAGTATACTGTGTCTGAGTGGGGTATTCATGTTAAACTGCGGCACGGTATCTCAGTGTGCTAGCACTATAAATCGGCATCAGTCCGGACTAGTACAAGCAGCCACACACACACACGTGCATGCACATCGCTATATAAGTGCAATAATCGTGGACGCGACGTTAAACCCAATTTCACCGTCTACGATCAATACCATATCGTACAAAGATATGAACAACATTTGGTTGTTGATTAAACATAAACATTCAAGTAAATAGCGGTAAGAATTTCAATAAGCACATGACGGGTTAGTGTTAAGATATACTCAGTACAGAACATAATTTAGTCCACTACATGAGTGTCGTGAAAATAATAATCTTCTATCCCGTAAGAGAAACACAAACTGGCCGAATTGTATATCTTCTGTATATGTGATTTAGATTGTCACAATGATGCACAGTGTCTTACACTCAGTGGTGCAATGGGAAAGTTGTCACATCGTTAAAGAGAATCTGATGGAGATGGAGATGGAGATGGAGATGGAGAAATCTGTGGACAGGTCCTTCTCAAACAAACGATAGCTTCTAACTGTATTGCCATTTGAATGACCGAATCATTGTACTGCATATAAGTAAAGAAAAATGTTTAAAGAATATAGTTCTTTTGATTGTTTGTTTGTTTGTTGTTTAACGGCGCACTCAGCAATATTCCAGCTAAATGACGGCGGTCTGTTTATAATCGAGTCTGGATCAGACAATCCAGTGATAAACATCATGAGCATCGATCCACGCAATTGGGATTCGGTGACATGCATCAACCAAGTACGCGGGCCTGACCACCCGATCTTAGTCGCTTCTTACGACAAGCACAGTCACCTTTTACGGTAAGAATGGGTTCCTGAAGACCTATTCTAACCCGAATCTTCACGGGTCTGTTCCCTTTGAAACACAGTGGCAGTGGCAGTTATCATGTCCCGGCCCAAACATTTCTATTGTTGTTGACTCAGCTAAGTTGATAAATGCTTAGCTCCGAGCTTATGATGAAACACAGGGACGTCTGTCCACCAGCAGAAACATCGACCCAGTCCAAGTAAATATATAATTCGGCAACGCCAGAGAATAACCAGTCTCGACTATCCGCCGCTTCCAATGGTCGTAAAAGACAAAATAGCTATGAAATTGACGAATCTAGGCACATCACCCCTACGATAACGCACAGGGCCCATGTTATTACAAAATTTCCTTTAAATACTCTTGCGTAAATACTTTATGCCCTCACTCGCCCTTAACAACTTTACCGGGTATATTTAGTGTCATGTATACTGTTATTGAGCAGAGTTTTATTTTGGCGCTTCATTCATGAAGTGGGAAATCGGTTCCAATGGAAGAGTGGTCGTTAAATCATCATGAAAATAGCTGGTCCGAATAGGTTTTAAACAGGGAAAGATTAATTTTATTAAAAGATAGACAGATTCATCGCGTGGACTTGTGTATGAGTATCACTTAGAAACGCATACCATCACAGACACAATACATCTAACCCTACATCTTCTGTTTCAAAGGTCTGCTTCAGCGTCTACAAGACAAAGAGGACGTTGTTGTGGCGGAGGGATATCTGTTTGAGTTTGAGAGAAGAGGCTTGCTGAAAGCGGGAGCATTTGTACCGGAAGTCGTCATTGAAAGACCGGATCTGGTGAAAAGTCTTCATGAGGAGTTTGTCAATGCCGGAAGTGACGTCTGTTTGGCATTTACGGTAATATAGGATAAAACATGTTTAAGAAATATAATTCCCTAAGAATCTAAGTTGTCAAGTTCACTATGACCGGATTTGCAGAAATTTCCAGGCATGAACTTCGAGGTTGATACCCAATTTTTACCATGTCGCGTGTTAAAAGCATTTCTCTTGATTTTCATAACATTTCTCAATGGTTTCAAAATGTATAAAATTCAAATATCAGTATTTCTTTGGGAAGATAAACATTTGTAAATTAGTAAATTTTCAAATGTTTACATGCCTTAGTATCATGTATCATCTTCGGTATAAAGGATAAGTACTTGACTAGTTTGAATATATGCCCATATTACCCGTACTAAAAGATTGAAAAAGTGGTTTTCAATTTGTTTTATTTTCAAATATGCTGGTACATTTGCCATCAATGTTCCTTTTATCTCATTCACTACGTGGGGGCACGGGTGGCCAAGTCTTCTAAGGCGCCGCGATTCGCTGTGCAGAGTTGCATCCCTTGGGCACGTCAGGAACCTATGATTGTGGGTTCGAATCACGGTTCGCCCCGAATATGTTGCTAGGTTTGTCAGCACCATACCCGTGCTCGTTGGTTTCACAAAAGTGGTTAACGTCTGAGACCTGCATCACTTCGGGCTTTCCTCTGACATTAAGCTGACACGCCGTGATATAACTGGAAAACTGTTAAAAGCGGCGTTAAACCCAACTCGCTCACTCAATCATTAACCACGTATAGCCCAGTTTTTGGTTAAACACTTCAGTACAAGCTCACAGTAAATCATTTCCCTTCATCGGGTAGTGCTTCAGACAATAGGGGATGGGAGAGTTAGAGATATACCATTACATTAATATCCTGTACAGATCTATCCTTCCCCGTCCACCATTGATTATTGGAAAATATATTTTATGAAAAAAGAGATCCAACATAAGTATATAACCCACATACCAATACACGTACACATATGCCTAGACACACGTTATAGTAAACTAGTAAAGTACTGTGCTGGCCTTAACACCATTGTTGAAATCAAGCCTCAGCTTTCGTCTAATACGCATACATGTTGATTCGTTTAAAGTGCAAACATTTATGGGGTTTTTTCAATGCTTAGAAATGTACATACAGATTTTGGTATGTAACTGGGGAATTCACCAATAAATGAAAAAAAAACAACATTTTGCAAGATATATGCAAAACACGCCCATCTATACCGAATGCTCACTGGTGTTCCTCGACTAAATGTGAGCTACACTTAATCATATTTAAGTTAGTAACGCATACTTAACTAGTCAAAACATGTTACATGTGATGGTTTGTGCAGGTTAGTTAATATACCTCAGACAAAAGAATTAGAGACAGGCTGTATGTGGTGTTCCGTGTGAACTGCCATGCTCCGCCATGCGTTGTACTTTATTTTGCATAACTTAACATTAATTGTCATTTTTTGAAAATTCGAAATGAAGCCCGCTGTTAACTCCAGATGTTACGACGTCATTAAAATGTGAATGCTTAAAATTGAGATTGTCATTTATGAAGCATCGGCAAATTGTGTGAATGACGGGTACTTCCGGTAGGGCAGGACATGCGTACCCTCTTCGCGAACACCTGGTGTCATCACTGATTTTCAGTTATCCATTCATATAGTCTGAATTTGTCATTTATGTAGCATCAGCAAATTGTGTGAATGACGGGTACTTCCGGTAGGGCAGGACATGCTTCCCCTCTTCGCGAACACCTGGTGTCATCACTGAGTTTGTCATTTATGAAGCATCGGCAAATTGTGTGAATGACGGCTTAATCTTTTTGGCGAAAACCTCGTGCAATCTCTGATTTTCAGTTATCCATTCATATAGTTTGCACCATTTTTGTCTTCTGCACCCGTTTTCGGCGGATAATCGAGACTGGTTTTTCTCTGGCGTTGACGTTTTATATTTCTGGCAGTATTAGCATTGTAATGGTACAGAGATTATGATACAGGAACTGTGGGGATTACTTCCGTGGCTTCATCATATGATTTTACGTGTGCGTATTCGCTGCTCCAAGTCTACTACTCTATTTAGATTTTATTACCCAAATAATCTGCATGGTTGACCAGAACTAACGGTTATGGTAAGGGATTATGTGTAACTTTGGGGTAGCGCTTACTTCGAAGGTATTTTGGTCATTATCCCAGTTGCGTAGATCGAAGCTCATGATGTCAATCACTGGATTGTTCAGATTCGATTATTTACAGACCGTCGTCATAGAGGAGAATAATGCTGAGTGCGGCGTTAAACAACAAACAAACAAACAAACATTATCAGAGATGTCTAAATGTGGGCGAAACCCACAATCAAGGGTATGATGAACAAACCAAATAGCATAACAGGGGCGAGTTCAACTAATGAGTGTAGGGGTTGGTCGTTGCTCATTCTGTCAACCACTGGTTTGCAAAAACCGGACCTGATTGTTTTCAGATCACCATGACATAGGAGACATTTTCGGGACATCGACAATTTATTTATTTATTCTTCTTCAAGGTTATAATTACTTGTAAATACCAGAATAAATTATTTTTTCAAGATACAGTCTTTTTCCTTTCACAGTACTACGGTCACAGAGAGAAACTCAGAGTTATCGGCCGTGAAGGTGACCTTGAGAAGTTGAACAGAGATGCGTTGAGGATCGCGAGGCAGGTGGCAGACGACACCGGGACACTGATGGCGGGAGATCTCTGCAACACGACGGTGTACAGGAAGAATAACAAGGAAGCGATTGAGACGACGGAAGCCATGTTTAAAGTGAGTGCGAGACGACGGAAGACATGTTTAAAGTGAGTGCGAGACGAAGGAAGCTATGTTTAAAGTGAGTGCGAGACGACGGAAGACATGTTTAAAGTGAGGGCGAGACGAAGGAAGCCATGTTTAAACTGAGTGCGAGACGACGGAAGCCATGTTTAAAGTGAGTGCGAGACGACGGAAGCCATGTTTAAAGTGAGTGCGAGACAACGGAAGCCATGTTTAAAGTGAGTGCGAGACGACGGAAGCTATGTTTATTGTGAGTGTGTGGACATTCTGATTGCGAAAGGGCGTTACTAACTAAGATCTGTCTAACTAATACAGTGCAATACACTGTCAGTTAGTTCGTTGATAGCTCTCTTCCCTTGTATCCCAATCCTGGTGTTCCAGCCGTCATATTGCTGGACTTACTGGAAGGTGAGGAGGTGAAATGGGGTTTAACGTCGCATGCATGCATGCAAGTGTGTGTGTGTGGGTGTGTGTGTGTGTGTGTGTGTGTGTGTGTGTGTGTGAGAGAGAGAGAGAGAGAGAGAGAGAGAGAGAGAGACGACGGCAGCCATGTTTAAAGATATATTCTTGTGTTTAGATAAACGTATTTGTCAATATCAGTTGATATTGTTTGCTTGCTGTTTAACGCCTCACTAAACAACATTCCAGCTACTTTCCAGCTTCTCGCTGACTTGGTTGATGCATGTCATCGTATCCCAATTGCGTGGATCGATGATCATGATTTCAAGCACTGGATTGTCTGGTCGAGACGCCATTATTTACAGGCCGCTGTCAAAAAGCTGAATAGTGCGGCGTTAAACAACAAACAAACAAACAAACAAACTATCTAACACAGAAATACAACTTAGAACATTTGGATTGCTTATTCAACTGTAAAGACCTTAATTTCTTCGAGGAATGTCAAAGTGAGAATGACATTATCCCATCTTAGACTGAACGTGATGACGTTCGAAAACTTCCCACAGAAACTAAGCATGTCATACATGTATTTAAGACTGAACAACCATCTGCTTATATTTTGTTTGTTTGTTGTTTAATGCCGCACTCAGCAATATTCAAGCTATGTGACGGCGGTCTGTAAATAATCCGGTGTGGACCAGACAATCCAGTGATTAACTTCATGAGCATCGATCCTCGCAATTGGGATAAGATTACATGCATCAACCAAGTCAGCGAGCCTGACCACCAGACCCCGTTAGTCGCCTCTTACACAAGCATAGTCGCATGGGTTGCTGAAGACCTATTCTACCCCGGATCTTCACGGGTAATCTGCTTATATAGATGCTAAAAGTCTTAGGAGAGTTCCTTGCCAAAGGGACATCCGAATCACGCTATAAATTGTGAAAATCTTGTGAGAATATTACTAAATAAATATATTTCATCGATTCCCGACATCGGTACAATGTGTGAAGCCCATTTCTGGTGTCCCCCGCCGTGATATTGCTGGAATGTTGATAAATCCGACGTAAGACCATACCCGCCAACTCACTGGTGTATTTCAGGAAATGACACAATAATGCCTTTTTATCTTCAGGAACAAATAGAGTGGGCGGTGGAGGAAGGAGCTGACTACATTGTTGGAGAGAGTTTCAGTGAACTAGGGGAGGCCATGCTTGCCCTTGAGTGCATCAACAAATATGGAAATGGTGAGATTTATTCTAAAATGAATAAGTATTATTTCAAAATGGCATGACGTCTAAAGATACAGCAACACACTGACGTGTCTTTCCAGGACTTCCGGCAGTCATTAGCTTTATTTCCCATGCCGTGGACAAAACGTCAGACGGTTTGGCGTTCGGCGTCGCCTGCCGCAGGCTCGAAGAAGCAGGAGCGGCTGCAGTTGGGCTGAACTGTGGGCGTGGTCCCAAGACGATGCTGCCTCTCATTAGGGAGATCAGACAGGCCTGCAAGGTAGGAAACATTCCATGAGAGATAGTAATTCACGGTCAGATAATTGGTTATTCCACGTGGCGGACACATTAATCCAAAACAAATGCAGACTATTCTGAAACACATTTATATTTCCAGGGTCCATACACTAAATCGCCTGTAAGTACGATTGCGGACAATAATTTGTTGTCATGTGAAAAACATGGATCTTTACATGTGTTCAACCAAAAGGGTCAATACGATAAGCGACATGACCTCATCTTACATTCTTATATGGATTTTACACCTCTTTCGTTACCTATTGAGGTAACTTGATGACTTGATGATTACACTGATGATAGTTACAGATATTTAACTAATGATATTTTTTTTATAACGGAACAAGTATCAGATGGTTTGGACAACCTAGGTTCCCCTCTGACCAGCAATCTAACAAATTTGGCAAAATATATAATATTTTTCGATTATTGAATTTGCTTTTTATAAGCTGTCGATGTGATACTGACAAGGAAAAAGACAATTATACATCAGTTGGGCTTAATGGATGCAGTGTAATTGATTATGTCATAGGATCATGTTGGTGATTTGAGTATGTTTTGTCTTTAAATATCATTTAGAGAAGTGAATCAGAACATCACCCTATAGCATTTTATCTGTCTACGAATATTGATTAATCAGAGTGAGTGAGTGAGTGAGTACGGTTTTACGCCGCTTTTAGCAATATTCCAGCAATATCACGGCGGGGGACACCAGAAATGGACTTCACACATTGTACCCATGTCGGGAATCGAACTCGGATCTTCGCCGTGACGAGCGAACGCTGTAACCACTAGGCTACCCGACCGCCCCTGATTAATAAGAGAGAGGTCAGTCCAGGTGACCATATGGTTAGTATTAAGTGAGATGAGGTGAGTTGAAATGGGGTTTAACGTCGCGTCCAAGATTATTGCACTTATATAGCGACTAGTATTAAGTATACATGGAATGAGGTCTTAAGAGGCGACTAACGGTATCGGGTGGTCAGGTTCGCTGTCTTGGTTGATGCATGTCATCGATCCCAATTGGGTGGATCAATGCTCATGATGTTAATCACTGGATTGTCGGGTCCAGACTAGGCTATTAACAGACCGCCGTCATATAGCTGGAATATTGGTGAGCGCGGGGTTAAACAACAACAAGCAACAAACAAACAAACAAACACGGAATGGGGTGAGAGGTCTATATTCACTGAAGTGTTAGCAGTGTAATGACAATTTGAGCACGCGGTACATACATTGATTACGGAATTAAACTAATCGCATGTATGTTAATGTGATCAGCTTATTGAAGGAAACGTTCTGTAAGACCATTTTCCAAGGATTTGTTTGATGCTAAAAGTGAATGTTTTAAACAACAGAGATGTCATTATTTCGTAAATATATTCACAAAGTATCTCTTCAGTACTGTCTTGCTACAAGAAATAAGTATAAAGCTGTCTGTAGGAATAGTAAAGTTACTTTTGAAATTTAACGTCAATCTAAAATGATAGATTCATTGACAGATTTCAAAACGTTTTGGCACAAAGTTCAAGCTTTATCAGGTACTAAGTATAAAAAACAATATAATTTCAGAGACTTGGTACTATTATTTTAATGACCTGTACAGTATTGCAGAACCAAACATATCGACTTCTTTTGAAGAGTACAAAAATACTCTGTACTAATGTGTACTAAGGGATGAATATACTTATCCTAATTGGGTTCTGTTACTGATGATATATATATTATGATTCTTAATGGCAGACTAAAGTTTTGGTCAGGTGCAATAGGAAACACATATAAAGAACAGACGGGATCTAGAGCTGGATATTCCACATTGGACAATGTTTTCATTTTACGAGCTTCAATTAGACTCTCTAAAAGGGAGGTAACGTATGTGCATGTTTTGTCGATTTCGCAAAGGCATCATCTTCCCGAGGCAAGAGAGTTAACTGACTTTAAAAGTCCAGTTTCCACCCTTGCCGAACTAGGCTGGATATTATGGAGTTACATTTTGGTTGGACTAACGAGTCTATGCATAGTCTATGCACGAGTCTATGCAAAGGCATTTGATTCCGTTCAAAGAAAATATATTGGCCGAAAAGAACTTTTTATACTCGAAGAATATCTAATATCTGTTACAATCAAAACGATTCGAGTCATTTCAGAGCAGGTTTAGTTCATTTAAAGGCATGTTTCAAAAGTAGAACAATATTTGCACATCTTGGCACCTTAATGTTGTAGGAAATGAATGCAATTTTATAATTGTGTGTAAACTCCATCTTCAATTAAGAAACAAATGTATTCCAAAGAAGTTGACATCTTATCCAAATATCAATTTGTTTTGCATACCCATGTCAACCTCAAATGTTATATACTCTGCATACAAGGAAACGCAAAAGTAGTAATATCGTAAATATCTGACAGAGTGTTGCCAATATCCATACGAAATGAATACCAAAAATAAATTCGTCATTTCTGCATGGATTGGTATTGATTTGTGTGAAATGAGGTACTGCAGAAAATTTGGAGAAAAGATGGAAAAATCGCAAAAAACACAACCACGTGAGAGCCTGCCGCCGAAACACACAAACATCACATGCACGTGCAACATCAGTTGTTGGGCTTTAAAAACGTTGGGTTTTCATTTGCATGCCATCACAATCTTACAATAAGTGAACAGCGAAAACATGCAACGACTGACGGAACAACGGCCATCGGCTGACTGCATACAGGCGAATCATCTTCGGCCGTAGCCAGGTTTTTCCACGTAGCACCAAGCACCATTACAAGACTGATGAACCGTTATCAAACACGCGGAACAACAAGTGATCATGACCTCCCCAGGTCCGGTCGACAACGTTTCACTACAAGAGCACAGGACAGATTCATACGGCTAGGTCACTTACGTGAAAGAACAACCACGGCCCCCAACTACGGCAATACAGGATTGCGATGTGTGCCAATTTTGAACAATCAATTACAATCTGTTGATTATTTATCTGATAATATACATCTGAAATCACTTTCGCGTTTTATTTTTTGCAGAGTATATATTGGGCCTATCTAGGGCCTATGGCTTCTCAGTTTGCCATTGATAACCAATTTGAATGTAAAATTGGTATTAGCAATGATAATTCTGGCACATTGCCAAACTGAAATTGAAGCTCTCGAGCATATTTGATTCTCTTGTATTATGGCTGCCAAATTGTTGCCACGCTTCCAAAATTGGTACAACCATAGACTGAACTGTTAAATAGATCTGAAACAAGTAACCGACCTACTTGGAGACCCCAACCAAAATTGGGGCGGTTGGGTAGCCTGGTTGTTAAAGCGTTCGCTCGTCACAACGAAGACCCGGGTTCGATTGCCGACATGGGTATAATGTGTGAAGTCTATTTCTGGTGTCCGCCTCCGTACTATTGCTGGGATATTGCTAAAAGCGGCGTAAAACCATACTCACTCACTCCCAACCCAAATTCCTTATTCAATTATCGTCTTGTGGTAATCAAAGAATATACACTACTCAGAAGAAGTTAAAGAACATCGGTTCATTCATATCACTATGGATAATCTGTTATGCCATGATTTGAATATGCAGACATGTGTTTTTGTTTCTAGGGCCCTGTTATGGCGCTGCCAGTACCATACCGGACGTGTACAGAACAACCCACGTTCCAGTCTCTCAAAGATCCAGCCACGGGTAGGTGCTATGTCTTTGTTTCTGTCCGTCCAGTGATTAAGCTGGAATGTGTACAAGTATGTACTGGCTGGAACATCAGCTACTGCACAATCTAAATATCTGTATAATCGGGGCGAACCGGGTTTCGAACCCACAATCATAGGTTTCTGGCGTGCCCAAGGGACGCAACTCTGCACAGCGAATCGCGGCGCCTTAGACGACTAGGCCACCCGTGACCCCGGTTCTCTTCAGGTCACTGACAGTTGTTTACAACTTGGAACACGCGATGTTAATGTTTGACGATTTCAACAGGGTTTTTTGTTTGATCGTTGATGGTCTCGTTTCATTAAGTCTCTGAATGTGCGTACAGCTGGGTTTTTTGTTTATTCAAAACGCCAGACCTTCTTGCCCTTTCGTTTCATTCGTTATCTGCACTTTGATGAAATCATCTTTTTTAACGTCGGACCCTAGCAAGCTTTGAAAAGTATTAGCCATTGAAAATTATGTCAAACTTGTTAACTCATATATGATTCAATGTAGTTTGTCTTACAGACCCTGATACATATATATATAAAATACATCCCATGCAAGTCTATAATGTTTGGCAAGTCTAGATTACTGCAGTAACAGGAAGAGAGTCACTGGGCTCCCTTTTATTATATTTTTATTAAGATAACTGAACAACTGTTTTTTCTGTACGATATGTTCATTTTAGAGACTAGATTTGAGTCTAGATTCAATGTGTGTGTTGGATGTATGATGTCGTTTCCGGTTTTTATTCATCCATTCATTCATTCTCTTAAAGGGAAGAGGGCTTTTCCGGTTGACCTTCCTGCGCATGCCTGTGGACGAAGTGAAATTGCCGACTTTGCCCGAGAAGCCAAATCCCTAGGCGTGCAGTATGTGGGACTATGTTGTGGCAGCGCTTCTCACTACATCCGGGTGGTGGCGGAGGAATATGGGCGTCGACCCCAAGCAAGTAGATACTCCCCCGACATGGCCCAGCACTTTATTTTTGGGAAGAACAAAAGTAGCGAGGATCCTTACCAGCAGGAGCTCAGAAAGAAAGTTACAGGCAGTTAGTTTTTACCGTCATGTACTTTAGAGATGTCGCTTTGACGCTTTTATTTAACTATGGATGTATATCTTTATTGATTGTCATTACACAAATAAAATCCCTTTCATCAAGTATTACCTGTTTCAGATTTTGAAGAACCTTTTTGAGTGAGTGAGTTTGGTTTAACGCCGCTTTTAACAGTATTCCAGTCATATCACGGCGTGTCAGCTTAATGTGGGAGGAAAGCCCGAAGTGATGCAGGTCTCAGACGTTTACCACTTCGGTGAAACCCACGAGCCCGGGTATGGTGCTGACAAACCTAGAAACATGATCGGGGCGAACCGTGATTCGAACCCACAATCATAGGTTTCTGGCGTGCCCAAGGGACGTAACTCTGCACAGCGAATCGCGGCCCCTTAGACGACCGGACCACCCGTGCCCCTAGAACCTTCTTGAACCAGTATCGGTTGTTGGGGGAACTATTTTAACCCGGTTTTGTCTCCCCACGCGGGTTCAATCAAGCAAGAAATCAAAGATACTATATGATACGTATGAGTGAAATAATTTTAAACGCTTCGTTAATTCCCAATTTCTCGGTTTCTACTGTGTTTGTCCAGGCATATATAAAAGTCAAAGTTTTGATTTACCAGTTGTAGATCAACGACACCCAGAATATAAAGAATAGTAACACTGGCAAAGTGTTGAACAGAAACCTTAACAACAGAAGGTATCTCAGTGAAAACGAAAATAAACACATGCAATCACAACTATAACTATATACGGCACATTGTTCAATATTGCTTTGAGTGAGTGAGTGAGTGAGTGAGTGAGTGCGTGCGTACGTGCGTGAGTGAGTGAGTGAGTGAGTGAGTGAGTGAGTCGTAGTTTTACGTCAACTCTAACCTTGCGGTAACACACAGACGGACGACTAAATCGACTTCGGAAATCGAACCAGGGTCCAGTCGCTCACGAGGCCGACACGCTATCCATTGTGCTATCCCGCCGCCAAAATTGTTTACAAGGTTCCAAGTGGACGTGACCTACGACGCACGCAAAAACAATATTGAACAATTTATCGTGTACAACTATGGTTGTCATTTTAGGCGATTACTCTCGTTTCCGGTCCCGGAAGATCCGGGGTAGACTTGGTCTTCAGCATCCCATGCTTGCCGTAAGAGGCGACTAAAGGGATCAGGTGGAAAAGCTCGGTGTCTTGATTGTTGCATGTCATCGTATCCCAATTGCGACGACCGATGCTCTTGATGTCAATCACTGGATTGTCTGGTCCAGACTATTTACAGACAGCCGTCATATAGCTGGAATACTGCTGAGTGCAGTGTTAAACAACAAACAAAAACTTTCGTTTCTGAAGTGTTCATATGCCGTCATAAAGCACATAAGCTTAAGATATCAGGGTGTAATGGTCAAAGAATTTATTTCCATTTTCTATCAATTATGATAGCTCAATTGGTTAAGGAGGTATAAAATCTGGTTTCTAGAATTTCCACAAATTATGTATTGCATACAACAACAGTATTATACAATATTCAATAATTGTTATGGTTAGGATGTTTATTAAATTTCCTGGTTTTGAATGTTATGTTTCATTTTTGATTATGTGCCAATTTTATGTCAACCTTAAAAAGAAGGGAGATAATCACAGATTGGTGTGGTCAAATCACCATGTGTTTTAAGCAACATGCACGGGGAAGTCATGCTAGGAGCCAGTGAGGTCTAAAGTAATGGTAAGGCATATTTTTTCACGCATTTGAAAATTCATAAATAGGAATTTGTATATAAATGCATCTTCTTAATTTCTACCATATATAATAACTTAATTCTTCATAATTTAGGGTTTGTGGCTGATTTAGACTTGGCCTATGGAAATATGCCCTACACTTCAACTTTTGTTCATATATACCCTTCAAAAAAAGAAACTTGACATAGATGTTAAACCACTTTTTGCCAAATATCTAAAATAATTACATTAAATGAGAACCAAATAAGTCAAACAGAAAGATGATGTGTCTATAATTCGCGTAAACACATGCAAAGCACATAAACGTAGCGTTTGGGGATCAATTTTACAGCTTCATCCAAACGCAACCGCCTGTAAAAAACGTGCAGCACAGGATCCTGCATTTAGGCATGCAGGCCCTCCTGCTGAATGGGTATTAAAATCCACATCAACGGCTGTTCATACACTCCTTATAACGACAGCAGAGGCGGTGACAGAATGCCAAGACTGAATGCAGCTCAACGGAACAACGCCATTGGGAGATTACAAGCTGGAGCAACTCAGCAAGAAGTGGCCAGGCACTTTGGCGTCTCCAGACAGACAATCTCCGCACTGTGGACCCGATACAACAACACCAACAGGGTTGACGACAGACCAAGGTCAGGAAGACCAAGGGTGACAACCCAAGCACAAGATCAATACATCCGGCTGCGACACCTCCGAGACCGCACTACCACAACCACGTCTACAACCACACAGATCCCTTGGGTACGCAGAATATCAGATCAAACGGTACGCAACAGAGTGAGGGATGCTGGACTTTTTGCACGAAGACCTGTTCGACGTCATGTATTGACCCCACGTCATCTGGCGGACCGTCTGCTTTGGTGCCAACAGAGGGTTAGATGGGCACGTACAAGGTGGAGAAATGTACTGTTTAATGACGAGTCCCGTTTCCTACTCACACGTGCTGATGGGCGCGCACGTGTCTACAGACGTCGGGGTGAACGTTACGCCCCCAACTGTGTGCAGCAGGTTGTCCCATTTGGCGGCAGGAGTGTCATGGTATGGGCCGGAATTCATCACGGTGGTAGGACGCCTCTCGTGCATGTGGCAGGTGCATTGACAGGTGTGCGTTACAGCGACTTGATCCTACAGCCCTACGTTCTTCCTCACGTCAACGTTCATGGCGGACAGTTCCAGCAGGACAACGCTCGACCGCATATGGCACGTGTTTGTCAGGACTTCTTACAGCACAACAACATCCAGACATTACCTTGGCCAGCCCGGTCACCAGATTTGTCCCCGATTGAGCATCTGTGGGACGAGTTGGATCGACGCGTTCGCAGAAGGAATCCACCGCCCCAAACACTTCCGGCGCTTCTTGATGCACCTCAGCATGAATGGCAGCACATCCAACAGCGTGTTATTAACAACTTGATTGCATCTATGGGTTGTCGGTGTCAAGCGGTGATTGATGCACGTGGTGGGCACAACCGATACTGACATTTTCTGTACCCCTGTGACATTAACTGTATCGTGTACGTGTGTCTGTCTAGGTGACACGATTGATGTTTTGAACATTGTGTACATTGATCTTCAAACAGTGTTTCAATTATGGTTTCTGTGTCCTATTTTGAAACAATCGCATTATATTACATTTTGAAAGTCAGTGTCAAGTTTCTTTTTTTGAAGAGTATATATTCTCATGACCTAAAGTTGTTATGAAAGGTATATGAAATATTAAGCTTCCTGTTTATTTAGTGCAGTTAAGGCATAGCTTTTGCACATTTTATTGGACTATTATGTATTTCCAGGTTTGTGCTGCTGTATTTTACCTTATTGTTAAATGTGTATGCCTTTGTGAAGTAAACAAGCCCAACCTAAAATATAATACTGCTGTATTATGAAGTTAATGTGTAACTTAAGGAAATTTAAAAGCCATATACTCAATGAAATCCTTTCTATCTGTTACAGTCAATCTAATGTTTGTACATGAGAAACGAGAATAAGAAAACAATAAAGAATCAAGATTATTGGTTGGAAATTCATGTCGTATTCAACACATAGGGGTTGTAAACGAGAATTATGTCGTAACATCTCATCTTTCTCATCTTTTGACAGAAGGTAGTGAATTACAGTAAACTACGGTTATAACGAAATCAAAGGGACTTCTATTTTTAGTTCGTTATAACCGTAGTTCGTTATAAGCATATATACTGCATAACTACAGCAAATAGTCGGGACTTAAAGTTAATTGGTTATATCCGTCAATTCGTTATAAGCGTGTTCGTTATAACCGTAGTTTACTGTAGCTTAAAGAGGGCCACCCCAATTTCCAAAGTATGAAATAGGAACTTGAAAGTTTGCTTTCAAGTTTTAAGTTTGAGATTTCCAGCTGTCCAGTTTCAACGGGAGTAAGAAGTTGCAAGCTTCTATCTTTCAGAACAGATTTCGGAAGAGAAAAGTAAGAAGCTGTGTAGAGCATTCAATCTTTCCATCTGTACGAAATAAAGGGGTGGGGGTGGGTCAGTGTGTCTTAGGCTTCTACGTGTCACAATTCGCTTGGGCGTCCCTTTGGCACACCAGAAACCTATGATCGTCGGCTCGAATCCCGGTTCGCCCCGATTATGTGTCTGGTATTGTCAGCACCTTACCCATGCTCGTGGGTTTCACCAAAGTGGTGATATGCATCACTTCGGGCTTTCCTCCCACAGAAAGCTGACTCGCTCTGATCTAACTGGAATACTGTTCAAAACAGCGTTCATCCCAACTCACTCACCCACTAAAAAATAAAGTTAAAATGATATTAAGTGTCACCCGGACCAATGTGCTTGTGTGGTTGTTCGTGTACTTTTTCATAGTCGGGTCAGTGACATCAGACGTGTCTTTGTTCTGGTTCTAAAGCTTTAAGGCTAAGCAATAAACAACAGTCGTGAGGACAAGTAACTGGAGTGAGTGAGTGAGTTGGGTTTAACGCCGCTTTTAACAGTATTCCAGTTATATCACGGCGTGTCAGCTTGATGTGGGAGGAAAGCCCGAAGTGATGCAGGTCTCAGACGTTTACCACTTCGGTGAAACCCACGAGCACGGGTATGGTGCTGACAAACCTAGAAACATAATCGGGGCGAACTGGGATTCAAACCCACAATCATAGGTTTCTGGCGTGCCCAAAGGACGCAACTCTGCACAGCGAATCGCGGCGCCTTAGACGACTGGGCCACCCGTGCCCCCACAAGTAAGTGGAAAGTCAGTGTATTGTGTTTACAGAGTAAGACGCTGCAGTACTGACTATTGATTGTCTTTTACTACAATACCACAGTATGCCTTAAAAACCGTTAACCGAATACAATACTAGTCACCATTTACCCTTTCCGTGGTGATGGCACGGGAGTGTATTCTGTGATCTAGGGAGGGTGGTGATGGCGCGGGAGTGTGTATTCTGTGATCTAGGGAGGGTGGTGATAGCACGGTAGTGTGTATTCTGTGATCTAGGGAGGGTGACGAGAGCACGGGGGTGTATTCTCGGATCTAGGGAGGGTGGTGATGGTAGTTGGGTGTCTTCTGTGATCTAGGGAGGGGGAAGTGATGGCAGGGGGTTGTATTCTGTGATCTAGGGAGGGTGACGAGGGCACGATGGCGTATTCTGTGATCTGAGGAGGGTGGTGATGGCGCGGGAGTGTATTCTGTGATCTAGGGAGGGTGACGAGGGCACGAGGGTGTATTCTGTGATCTAGGGAGGGGGGTGATAGCACGGGAGTGTGTATTCTGTGATCTAAGGAGGGTGGTGATGGTAGTTCGGTGTATTCTGTGATCTAGGGAGGGGGAAGTGATGGCAGGGGGTTGTATTCTGTGATCTAGGGAGGGTGGTGATGGCGCGGGAGTGTGTATTCTGTGATCTAGGGAGGGTGGTGATGGTAGTTGGGTGTCTTCTGTGATCTAGGGAGGGGGAAGTGATAGCAGGGAGTGTATTCTGTGATCTAGGGAGGGAGGTGATAGCACGGGAGTGTTATCTGTGATCTAGGGAGGGGAGTAGATCGCACGGGAGTGTATTCTGTGATCTAGGGAGGGGAAGTGATGGCAGGGGGTTGTATTCTGTGTTCTAGGGAGGTTGGTGATGGCGCGGGAGTGTGTATTCTGTGATCTAGGGAGGGGGAAGTGATAGCAGGGGGTTGTATTCCGTGATCTAGGGTGGGAGGTGATGGTGCGGGAGTGTATTCTGTGATCTAGGGATGGTGGTGATGGCAGGGGGTATATTCTGTGATCTAGGGAGGGGTGGTGATGGCAGGGGGTGTATTCTGTGATCTAGGGTGGGATGTGATGGTGCGAGAGTGTATTCTGTGATCTAGGGAGGGGGCGGTGATAGCATGGGAGCGTCTTCTGTGATCTAGGGAGGTTAGAGAACGAATGAATGGATGAATGAAAATCCTGTGATCTAGGAAGGGGGGGGGGGGGGGGATAGCACGGGAGCGTCTTCTGGGGGGGGGGAGTGTATTCTGTGATATGGGGTGGGAGGTGATGGTGCGGGAGTGTATTCTGTGATCTAGGGAGGGTGATGATGGTGCGGGAGTGTATTCTGTGATCTAGGATGGGAGGTGATGGTGCGGGAGTGTATTCTGTGATCTAGGGTGGGAGGTGATGGTGCGGGAGTGTATTCTGTGATCTAGGAAGGGTGATGATGGTGCGGGAGTGTATTCTGTGATCTAGGGTGGGAGGTGATGGTGCGGGAGTGTATTCTGTGGTCTAGGGAGGGTGGTGGTGGTGGTGGGGGAGGGGGGGGAGTGTATTCTGTGATATAGGGTGGGAGGTGATGGTGCGGGAGTGTATTCTGTGATCTAGGGAGGGTGATGATGGTGCGGGAGTGTATTCTGTGATCTAGGGAGGGTGATGATGGTGCGGGAGTGTATTCTGTGGTCTAGGGAGGGTGGTGGTGGTGGGGGAGGGGGGGAGTGTATTCTGTGGTCTAGGGAGGGTGGTGGTGGTGGGGGAGGGGGGGAGTGTATTCTGTGATCTAGGGTGGGAGGTGATGGTGCGGGAGTGTATTCTGTGGTCTAGGGAGGGTGGTGGTGGTGGGGGAGGGGGGGAGTGTATTCTGTGATCTAGGGAGGGTGATGATGGTGCGGGAGTGTATTCTGTGATCTAGGGAGGGTGATGATGGTGCGGGAGTGTATTCTGTGATCTAGGGTGGGAGGTTATGGTGCGAGAGTGTATTCTGTGATCTAGGGAGGGTGGTGATGGCAGGGGGTATATTCTGTGATCTAGGGAGGGGTGGTGATGGCAGGGGGTGTATTCTGTGATCTAGGGTGGGATGTGATGGTGCGAGAGTGTATTCTGTGATCTAGGGAGGGGGCGGTGATAGCACGGGAGCGTCTTCTGTGATCTAGGGAGGTTAGAGAACGAATGAATGGATGAATGAAAATCCTGTGATCTAGGAAGGGGGGGATAGCACGGGAGCGTCTTCTGTGGTCTAGGGAGGGTGGTGGTGGTGGGGTGGGGTGGGGGGAGTGTATTCTGTGATATGGGGTGGGAGGTGATGGTGCGGGAGTGTATTCTGTGATCTAGGAAGGGTGATGATGGTGCGGGAGTGTATTCTGTGATCTAGGGTGGGAGGTGATGGTGCGGGAGTGTATTCTGTGATATAGGGTGGGAGGTGATGGTGCGGGAGTGTATTCTGTGATCTAGGAAGGGTGATGATGGTGCGGGAGTGTATTCTGTGATCTAGGGTGGGAGGTGATGGTGCGGGAGTGTATTCTGTGATCTAGGGAGGGTGATGATGGTGCGGGAGTGTATTCTGTGGACCCGGATGTAGTGAGAAGCGTTGCCACAACATAGTCCCACATACTGCACGCCCAGGGATTTGGCTTCTCGGGCAAAGTCGGCAATTTCACTTCGTCCACAGGCATGCGCAGGAAGGTCAACCGGAAAAGCCATCTTTCCTTTTAGAGAACGAATGAATGGATGAATGAAAATCCTGTGATCTAGGAAGGGGGGGGGGGGGGGGGGGGGGATAGCATGGGAGCGTCTTCTGTGATCTAGGGAGGGTGATGATGGCGATCTGAAGCGACACAATTCTCTGTGATCGTGATCTGGAATACCAGATTTGCCCAGATTTCTTGTTTCTTGCTTTGTCAGCACTATGGCTGGAGATTCCTAAATGTCAGTCGACTACAGTTTAAGTGTAAAGAGAATACCTAAAGTCAACTGACTGCGGCGATGGAGTCGCTTCTCAGATACATGTTATTTAATTTTCTGGGAAGGGAGGAAGGGTTCTTGTCGGAGAGGGAACATCTTTTTGCTCTGCTTCAAAATATACAATACACAATATACAATATATATAATTTATTACTTTGAAGAAAGGAAAGAAACAATAGTTTTTTACGTACAACATTAAAAAATACCAACTGATTAATTGCAACAAGAGCGTCTCTGAAACCCGGACTGTAACAGTACTTTTAGCACTGTCTCGAAGGTTACCTAGCAACCACCATATACATGTAGGTGGAATGTTCTTGGCAGAGAACAAGTACTGACAAGTACTATCATAACTCGCATACAGTCTGGCTACCATATTTAGAATTATAATTAATGCTCTCAAAGAGTTGATCTTAATTTTCTTTGCAATATATTTTAGGTTAAAAAGAAATATGTACATTGACTGATTCTTGATAAATTTTCTTCATAATTCTGTTAGGTCATCATTTTCTTTCTGATGTCCTGCTGGTAAGGATCCTCGCTACTTTTGTTCTTCCCAAAAATAAAGTGCTGGGCCATGTCGGGGGAGTATCTACTGGCGGGGGGTCGACGCCCATATTCCTCCGCCACGACCCGGATGTAGTGAGAAGCGTTGCCACAACATAGTCCCACATACTGCACGCCCAGGGATTTGGCTTCTCGGGCAAAGTTGGCAATTTCACTTCGTCCACAGGCATGCGCAGGAAGGTCAACCGGAAAAGCCATCTTTCCTTTTAGAGAACGAATGAATGGATGAATGAAAATTAATAAGATTATTGCACTTATACAGCCAAGTGGGTGCATATGTGTGTGCGTGTGTATATGTGTGCGTGCGTGCGTGCGTGCGTGCGTGCGTGCGTGCGTGCGTGGCTGCTTGTACTCGTCCGGACTTATGCCGCTTTTATAGTGCTCTCAGACACAGTTTACTGACTCCGAGCCGACCAGTCCTTGTTTTAGCCCCTTCATGTCGAGCGCCAGGCAGGGTAACAACAAGTACCATATTTTCACGACTTTAGGCATGACGCGCCCGGGGATCCACACGGAGAGACCCATGAGGATGGAATTAGAATAGATCTTCAGCATCCCATGCTTGCCGTAAAAGCCGACTATGCTTTCGTAAGAGGCTGCTATCGGGATCAGCTGCCCAGGCTCGTTGACCTGGTTGATGCATGTCATCGTATCTCATTTGCGTCGATCGATGCACATGATTTTAATCACTGGATTGTCTGGTCCAGACTCGATTATTTACAGACCACCATCATACAGCTGGAATATTGCTGAGTGCGGCGTTAAACAACAAACAACAATACATCTCGAAAAAGACCAGTCTTCATATTTCAGTTCGTGCCTTTAAGGTACTTACGCTGCACACGCTGCTAGATAAAGCCGCGCACATTTTTTATCTAATTCTCCTATTATTAACGTTAAAAATTAAAAAGGAGGGTTGGAAGAAAGGAACTATGGTTCAGAACAGGTTAATACATATTTAGCATATGCACGTAATAATACCTGTAGCTGGATCTTGGAGGGATACGAACGCAGGTTGTTCTGCACATGTGCGATACGGTACCGGAAGTGCCACGACCGGCCCCTAGAAACAGGAATATGGAGAGTCTTAGGACATTTACATCTCAGGCTCAATGTCCGAGAACCTCCTGGCGCCTTAAAGAGAATCATCATCAACATCATCATCGTCGTCGTCGTCGTCATAAACTTCTTCATCACCATCATCATCATCATCATCATCATCATCATCATCATCATCATCATTTATGCTGATGCTGTTGTTACGTGTTGCAACTATTTTACCTGTTGGCGTTGTCACATATATAAAGATTCACCTTGCAGGCCTGTCTGATCTCCCTAATGAGAGGCAGCATCGTCTTGGGACCACGCCCACAGTTCAGCCCAACTGCCGCCGCTCCTGCTTCCTCCAGCCTGCGGCAGGCGACGCCATACGCCAAATCGTCTGACGTGTGGTCTTTCGCAAGGGGGATCAAACTAATAGCTGCAGGAAGTCCTAAAGAAAGGAAGTCCGATGTTCAAAGACTTGATATATGTTATATATCGTTGTTACCATTAGAATAACAATCAATTTGAAACATTATCCTGCTTCTTCAGGAAAAGAAATCCCTCACCGTTTCCATATTTGTTAATGCACTCAAGGGCGAGCATCGCCTCCCCAAACTCAACGAATGTTTCTCCAACGATGTAGTCTGCACCTTCTTCCACCGCCCACTCGATTTGTTCCTGAGAAAAGAATTTGTGATTCAGTTTGGGTTACGCCCCTTTGAAGAGTATTTTAGTTATGTCACGGAGTTTCGGCTTCAACTGGGGGGCATGCTTTGAAGTTTTAGTTAATTTAATAAATTTATTGTATTGTGCTGACAAACCTAGAAACATAATCCAGGAGCATTTGGGATATGCATCCAATCATAGGTTTTTGGTATGCTCAAGGGACACAACTTTGAATGAGTGAGTGAGTGAGTATGATTTTACGCCTCTTTAAAAATCTTCCAGTAATATCGCGGCGGGGGACACCAGAAATGGGCTTCACACATTGTACCCATGTGGAGAATCGAACCCGGGGATTCGGCGTGACGAGCGAACGCTTTAACCACTTGGCTACCCCACCGTTCCCATATGGTTAAAATAAGAGATAACGTACTTTATCATATACTGGACAGAGTTATCGAAGCGATAAACCAATCCGATAAACTTGGTATCACGGTCCGATATATATGTGGAAATGAGGTCATCTATACGAGAAGTGCCTTCTATAAACTCTACACATAGCCCTTCACCACAGCCTTTGCAGAACTTTCCACAAAAGTGAACCTAAGTATCCTATGGAGGAGACATTGTCGCGTTGTCGCCCTCTGGTAAAATAAAAAAAGATTATTTAAAGCGCGACAATGCAACAATGCCACAAATGACTAAAATGTCGCGTTGTCGCATTGTCGTGCTTTGGTTAATTTTGACACTTTTTGCTTGTTTTTGTAAGGGCGACATTTTCCCTTCTAGGATTCCATTGTTTCCCGATGTGTGGGTGGTTAATATGAAAACAAACATGGCCTGAAGTCGTGAGGCAATGTATAACAAATTGGGCACTTGAATCAGGCATTGTATTTCTGCGCTCTTTCTAATAACAATATGTCCTAAACTTCGACTATTTTAAATATGGGAGATTATTACCCTCGTATGTTTCCGTTTCGTAAATAGGATATATTAGGAATACAAATGCTCTTATGATACAAATGTTAGTCCTAATTTATTATATTCACGATACGTAAACACCCACGGCTAATAATCTGTATGTATATTAGCCTCTGGAAAGAGTGGTCCGTCTCCGTGGTCCAGTGGTAGAGCGTCCGGCCAGGGAGCGGAAGGTCCAGGGGTTCCCTTCCCGGCCGCGTCATACCAAAAGACGTTAAAAGATGGTACTTGTTGTTACCCTGCCTGGCGCTCGGCATAAAGAGGATGAAACAAGGATTGGTCGGCACTGCGGCATAGGACTACAAAATCGGCATTCGTCCGGACTAGTACACACACAACTGGAACACCAGGATCGGGGTACCAGGGAATAGATCTACCAACGAACTAACTGACAGTGTATTGCACTGTATTAGTTAGACAGATCTTAGTTAGTAACGCCCTTTCGCAATCAGAATGTCCACACACTCACAATAAATATAGCTTCCGTCGTCTCGCACTCACTTTAAACATGGCTTCCGTCGTCTCGCACTCACTTTAAACATGGCTTCCATCGTCTCGCACTCACTTTAAACATGGCTTCCGTCGTCTCGCACTCACTTTAAACATGGCTTCCGTCGTCTCGCACTCACTTTAAACATGGCCTCCATCGTCTCGCACTCACTTTAAACATAGCTTCCGTCGTCTCGCACTCACTTTAAACATGGCTTCCGTCGTCTCGCACTCACTTTAAACATGGCCTCCATCGTCTCGCACTCACTTTAAACATAGCTTCCGTCGTCTCGCACTCACTTTAAACATGGCTTCCGTCGTCTCAATCGCTTCCTTGTTATTCTTCCTGTACACCGTCGTGTTGCAGAGATTTCCCGCCATCAGTGTCCCTGTGTCGTCTGCCACCTGCCTCGCGATCCTCAACGCGTCCCTGTTCAACTTCTCAAGGTCACCTTCACGGCCGACAACTCTGAGTTTCTCTCTGTGACCGTAGTACTGTATAAGAAATGATGATGTGTTTAAACTTAGCCCCGCAATTAACGTTACGGCGAGGCGCTAAGGCAGTCTGAAGTACATGTACCATGCATAAAACCTCGTCAAGTGGAATTCCATATATTTTAAACGATGCACCATACTTGTCCCAGCATAATCCCTATCAACACTATGGCCACTCCGCTTGTCTCGAACCATAGATGACATATATTCGCTGACCAGGAGAACTTCGGGTTAAAAAATGTTTAGTGGAAACCTTAATCAAAATATTTCACACCGACTTTGTTTTAACTTCTAAAATGGTTTGTGTCAAGTTGGCTTACGATATAACCAAGTCTTGTTTAATGCTAATGGCATTATTCACATCGTTGGCCCAAAGCATTGTAACGCCCTTTCATAACAATTATACATCACCCAATTATGTATGTTTCACATTATCATAAGTATAACAAAATCAGTTGTCAAAAATGAAACTTTAAGTTGTAGATACGTATCATCGGAGGAAAAATACTTCGATTTAGCAGATTCGGATCATTATTATTATCCCATTTTCTTTACCGTAAATGCCAAACAAACGTCACTTCCGGCGTTGACAAATTCTTCGTGGAGGCCTCTCACCAGATCCGGTCTTTCAATGACAACTTCCGGTACAAATGCACCGGCTTTCAGCAACCCTCTTCTCTCAAATTCAAACACATATCCCTCCGCCACAACAACATCCTCTTTGTCTTGAAAACGCTGAAGCAGACCTGTAAAACAAAAGGTGTTTAATGTATGGGCGGATGTATGTTTATGTGATTGTATGCGTTTTTAGATTTTATGATTAATAAAATACTGATGAAAAATTCATAACGGAAGGAGAAGATTTCGCTCAAAGACATAAACCGGTTGTATTTTGTTTACATGATGCATAAATAGACAATACATTCTATATGTTCTCTTACTTTTTATCATCAGAATAGCTTCCTTAAAGAAAAAAGGGGCGGTCGGGTAGCCTAGTGGTTAAAGCGTTCGCTCGTCACGCCGAAGACCCGGGTTCGATTCCCGACATGGGTACAATGTGTGAAGCCCATTTCTGGTGTCTTCCCCCGCGTTTTTGCTGGAATATTGCTAAAAGTGGCGTAAAACCATACTCACTCACTCACTCCTTAAAGACCCATGCTTGCCATATAGCTGGAATATTGCTGAGTGCGGCGTTAAAAACAAACAAACAATAAAGAAAGAAAGGTGTACACATCATTACAAATGCTAAGATTAATAATAAGTCAGTTACAATGTCTGTCTGAATCTGTGACAGAGGTTTGTGACCTGGAATATGATAACATTAAGGGACCGACCATTTAACTGTTTGATTGGCATTCTGGAAGTTGGTGAGTAAGTAAGAAAACGTACGACTTCAGGTTTATTGCATATAGCGACGTTTCGATGAAAATTCTTAAACCGTTATCAAGCTGGAGTGACAACAACCAGGTGATGAGAGGTAAATATACATGATATGTGATAAGTAAGAGATTACGCTGACAACAACAGGTGCTAGATATCAAGTAGCATACAGATAAATGGATGAAGCCATATTTACAGTACGAATACCACATGGGTCATGAAGCACACGGGTAATGAAGCACACGGGTAATGAATAACACGGGTAATGAAGCACACGGGTAATGAAGCACACAGGTAATGAAGCACACGGGTAATGAAGCCAGGTGTACAGTAAGGATAAGGACGGAAAGGATTAAACAGTTGTGACAAGCTGATTGGATCCTCAACAAAATTAAAACAGACTAAATCTTGATTAGATCTATAATTAGATTTAATTTTAATTAGGATGGTCCATTCAAAATGTTACCAAAAGCAAGCGGTTAAACTTAAAGTTTTCTGTGCTCTGATTTACACTGCCGTGGAAGGTGTGTGATAGCTTCGAGATTACAGATGGCCATTCTTCTTGACAGTATTCATTCGGTTTAAGAATAACAGCGTTTCTCGATCGCTATTTATTGAACCTTATGCTCAAGTACAATGGAATGTATAATCATAATGTACATCTTCACAAGTTAAACGAAGAACTATATATGTAAACTCACCTTTAACTGGCATAATGTCTTCAGAGATGTTGGTTTAATCACTGTAGTAGGGTAGACTCCTGTATAACTTGACGGCACACAGCTTATACTAAAGTGTTATGGTGTCGCGTAAGAGTCAAAGGACAACTCGTCCGCCCGGACCACTGTCAACCCGATAGTGGGTTACACATTGTCCGCCCGGACCACTGTCAACCCGATATGGGGTTACACATTGTCCTCCCGGACACTCTCAACCCGATAGTGGGTTACACATTGTCCGCCCGGACCACTGTCAACACGATATGGGGTTACACATTGTCCCCCCGGACACTCGCTCACGGCCTTTTACTCAATACATTCTATTATTGACAATGCCGCTAGAAATCAGGACAACGTAACGCATCTCGACTTTTCAGAGAAGTGGTGAGGTGAAATGGGGTTTAACATCGAGTTCAATATCATAATGCATAAATGCATGTGCTTGTACATGTCCGGATTAATGCCAGTTGTATACCGGACTAATTTTCATCGCCTTTTACGACCAATGGAATTTGTTTCAGCGGATAATCGAGACTGGTTATTCTTAATTATTATTAATGAAACGGGCTCGATGTTTCTGCTGGTGGACGATCGCCTCTGCGGTCTAGTGCTAGAGCGTCCGCCCGCCGCGTCATATCAAAAGACGTTAAAAGATGGCACTTGTTGTTACCCTGCCTGGCGCTCGGCATTAAGGGGCTAAAACAAGGACTGGTCGGCTCGGAGTCAGTATACTGTGTCTGAGTGGGGTATTCATGTTAAACTGCGGAGTGTTATCTCAGTGGGCTAGCGCTATAAATCGGCATCAGTCCGGACTAGTACAAGCAGCCACACACACATACGTGCATGCACGTCGCTATATATGTAAGTGCAATAATCTTGTACGCGACGTTAAACCCCATTCCACCCCTCCCCTCTGCTGGTGGACAGAAGTACCAGAGTTTTATCATAAGCTCAGTACGTAGCATTTATCAGTTATGCTGTGTCTACTACAAAAGTTGTGTTTGGCCAAGACGGCCGGCCGCTGTGTTGCAAAACGAATATATATTTTTTCTTACTTATAAATACTTTCCTTTACTGCACGTGTATATTTCAATTAAAAATTTACACAGAGTTTTAGTTTCATCAAAATCAGTAAATGCTCAATGCGTTAATCTCTGGCGCAGACATTTTACATGATAGTTAGTCAATCTTTATGTCACATACTTAAAGGCCAAAAGCCTACAGTACATTACAAATTGTCAAGTAGTGAGTGTCTTGCTTTACAAACACACTTTTGGTCATGGTACTAATCCAGTATACATTATAGCGCTAGCCTACTGCCACCATGCCGCAGATTAACATGGATACACACTCGAACGTTGTATTGTACAATGTGTTTGTGCTGTTGCCCTAAAACGTGGCAGTGCTCTGTTCTATGCCCTTGCCCTCCAGAGGTTGCTGTTCACGTCCTGTCCACCAGCTATACTTGCTATAAAGTGAGTCGATGCTTTTGTCCTGTGTAGGTCAATTCTACTGTGTACCTTATTCTAGTCACGATATGGCTGAAATGCCACTGGTTGACTTAATGTAACTCGCTCACCAATGTGCTCTGTGCTCTTGTTCTGTGTAATTCGGTGATTATATTCTTGACGTTGTCTACGCTTTTGTCCTACTTGTATCGCTGCTCTTGTCCTGTGTAAGTCGGTGATTATATTCTTGACGTTGTCTACGCTTATGTCCGACTTGTATCGCTGCTCTTGTCCTGTGTAAGTCGGTGATTATATTCTTGACGTTGTCTACGCTTTTGTCCTACTTGTATCGCTGCTCTTGTCCTGTGTAAGTCGGTGATTATATTCTTGACGTTGTCTACGCTTATGTCCGACTTGTATCGCTGCTCTTGTCCTGTGTAAGTCGGTGATTATATTCTTGACGTTGTCTACGCTTATGTCCGACTTGTATCGCTGCTCTTGTTCTGTGTAAGTCGGTGATTATATTCTTGACGTTGTCTACGCTTATGTCCGACTTGTATCGCTGCTCTTGTCCTGTGTAAGTCGGTGATTATATTCTTGACGTTGTCTACGCTTATGTCCGACTTGTATCGCTGCTCTTGTCCTGTGTAAGTCGGTGATTATATTCTTGACGTTGTCTACGCTTATGTCCGACTTGTATCGCTGCTCTTGTTCTGTGTAAGTCGGTGATTATATTCTTGACGTTGTCTACGTTTATATCCCAGTTGTATCGCTGCTCTTGTCCTGTGTAAGTCGGTGATTATATTCTTGACGTTGTCTACGCTTATGTCCGACTTGTATCGCTGCTCTTGTTCTGTGTAAGTCGGTGATTATATTCTTGACGTTGTCTACGCTTATGTCCTACTTGTATCGCTGCTCTTGTCCTGTGTAAGTCGGTGATTATATTCTTGACGTTGTCTACGCTTATGTCCTACTTGTATCGCTGCTCTTGTCCTGTGTTAGTCGGTGATTATATTCTTGACGTTGTCTACTCTTATGTCCGACTTGAGGGGGTGGGGAAGCCTAGTGGTTAAAGCGTTAGCTCGTCACGCCTAAGACCCGGGTTCGATTCCCGACATTTGAAGCCAATTTCTGATGTACCCCGCCGTATGTTGCTGGAAAATTGCTGAAAGCGGCGAAAAACCATACTCGTGTATCCCACTTGTATCGATTACCTGTGCATGTCCGTGATCATATTTGTGACGTTGTACTAATCCAGTGTATATCTCGCTCGCCCGGGGCTGGAGATCGAGATGGTCAGGGTACTAGTCCAGTATATATCTAACTCGCTCCGGGGCTGGAGATCGAGATGGTGGGGGTACTACTCCAGTGTATGTCTAGATAGCTCCGGGGTGGAGATCGAAATGGTCAGGGTACTAGTCCAGTGTATATCTAGCTCGCCCCGGGGCTGGAGATCGAGATGGTCAGGGTACCAATCCAGTGTATATCTAGCTATCCCGGGGGTGGAGATCGAGATGTTCTTGGCACTAATCCGGTGTATATCTAGCTCGCCCGGGGGTTGAGACCGAGATGGTAGGGGTACTAGTCCAGTGTATGTCTAGCTATCCCGTGGGTTGAGATCGAGATGTTCTGGGCACTAATCCGGTGTATATCTAGCTCGCCCGGGGTTGAGACCGGGATGGTAGGGGTACTAGTCCAGTGTACGTCTAGCTATCCCGTGGGTTGAGATCAACATGTTCTGGGCACTAATCCAGTGTATATCTAGCTCGCCCGGGGGTGGAGATCGAGATGGTAGGGGTACCAATCCAGTGTATGTCTAGCTATCCCGTGGGTGGAGATCGAGATGGTCAGGGTACTAATCAAGTGTATATCTAGCTCGCCCCGGGACTGGAGATCGAGATGGTCAGGGTACTTGTCCAGTGTATATCTAGCTCGCCCCGGGGCTGGAGATCGAGATGGTCAGGGTACTAGTCCAGTGTATATCTAGCTATCCCGGGGGTGGAGATCGAGATGTTTAGGGCACTAATCCGGTGTATATCTAGCTCGCCCGGGGGTGGAGATCGAGATGTTCTGGGCACTAATCCAGTGTATATGTAGCTATCCCGGGGGTGGAGATCGAGATGTTTAGGGCACTAATCCAGTGTATATCTAGCTATTCCGGGGGTGGAGATCGAGATGGCAGGGCAACTGGTCCAGTGTATATCTAGCCATCCCGGGGGTGGAGATCGAGATGTTTAGGGCACTAATGCAGTGTACATCTAGCTCGTCCGGGGGTGGAGATCGAGATGGTAGGGGTACCAATCCAGTGTATATCTAGCTCGCCCGGGGCTGGAGATCGGGATGGTAGGGGTACCAATCCAGTGTATATCTAGCTATCCCGTGGGTTGGAGATCGAGATTGAAGGGGTACCAATCCAGTGTATATCTAGCTAGCCCGGGGATGGAGATCGAGATGTTTAGGGCCCTTATCCAGTGTATATCTGGCTAGCCCGGGGGTGGAGATCGAGATGGTAGGGGTTCCAATCCATTGTATATCTAGCTAGCCCGGGGCTGGAGATCGAGATGGTCAGGGCACTAATCAAGTGTATATCTAGCTATCCCGGGGGTGGAGATCGAGATGTTCTGGGCACTAATCCAGTGTATATCTAGCTCGCCCGGGGATGGAGATCGAGATGGTAGGGGTACCAATCCAGTGTATATCTAGCTATCCCGTGGGTTGGAGATCGAGATTGAAGGGGTACCAATCCAGTGTATATCTAGCTAGCCCGGGGATGGAGATCGAGAGGTTTAGGGCCCTTATCCAGTGTATATCTAGCTAGCCCGGGGGTGGAGATCGAGATGGTAGGGGTTCCAATCCATTGTATATCTAGCTAGCCCGGGGCTGGAGATCGAGATGGTCAGGGCACTAATCAAGTGTATATCTAGCTATCCCGGGGGTGGAGATCGAGATGTTCTGGGCACTAATCCAGTGTATATCTAGCTCGCCCGGGGATGGAGATCGAGATGGTAGGGGTACCAATCCAGTGTATATCTAGCTATCCCGGGGATGGAGATCGAGATGTTTAGGGCACTAATCCAGTGTATATCAAGCTCGCCCCGGGGCTGGAGATCGAGATGGTCAGGCCACTAATCCAGTGTTTATCTAGCTAGTCCAGGGGTGGAGATCGAGATGTTTAGGGCACTAATCCAGTGTATATCAAGCTCGCCCCGGGGCTGGAGATCGAGATGGTCAGGCCACTAATCCAGTGTATATCTAGCTATCCCGGGGTTGGAGATCGAGATGTTTAGGGCACTAATCCAGTGTACATCTAGCTCGTCCGGGGGTGGAGATCGAGATGGTAGGGGTACCAATCCAGTGTATATCTAGCTCGCCCGGGGGTGGAGTCCGAGATGGTAGGGGTACCAATCCAGTGTATGTCTAGCTATCCCGTGGGTGGAGATCGAGATGTTCTGGGCACTAATCCAGTGTATATCTAGCTCGCCTGGGGATGGAGATCGAGATGGTAGGGGTACCAATCCAGTGTATATCTAGCTATCCCGTGGGTGGAGATCGAGATGTTTAGGGCACTAATCCAGTGTATATCTAGCTCGCCCGGGGTTGGAGATCGAGATTGAAGGGGTACCAATCCAGTGTATATCTAGCTAGCCCGGGGATGGAGATCGAGATGTTTAGGGCTCTTATCCAGTGTATATCTTTCTAGCCCGAGGTTGGAGATCGAGATGGTAGGGGTTCCAATCCAGTGTATATCTAGCTAGCCCGGGGGTGGAGATCGAGATGGTCAGGGCACTAATCAAGTGTATATCTAGCTATCCCGTGGGTGGAGATCGAGATGTTCTAGGCACTAATCCAGTGTTTGTCTAGCTAGTCCGGGGGTGGAGATCGAGATGTTCAGGGCACTAATCCAGTGTATATCTAGCTCGCCCGGGGTTGGAGATCGAGATTGAAGGGGTACCAATCCAGTGTATATCTAGCTAGCCCGGGGATGGAGATCGAGATGGTCAGGGCACTAATCAAGTGTATATCTAGCTATCCCGTGGGTGGAGATCGAGATGTTCTGGGCACTAATCCAGTGTTTGTCTAGCTAGTCCGGGGGTGGAGATCGAGATGTTCAGGGCACTAATCCAGTGTATATCAAGCTCGCCCCGGGGCTGGAGATCGAGATGGTCAGGCCACTAATCCAGTGTATATCTAGCTATCCCGGGGTTGGAGATCGAGATGTTTAGGGCACTAATCCAGTGTATATCTAGTTATCCCGGGGGTGGAGATCGAGATGGCCCGGGAGTGGAGATCGAGATGTTTAGGGCACTAATCCAGTGTATATCTAGCTCGCCCGTGGGTGGAGATCGAGATGGTAGGGGTACCAATCCAGTGTATATCTAGCTAGCCCGTGGGTGGAGATTGAGATGGTAGGGGTACCAATCCAGTGTATATCTAGCTAGTCCGGGGTTGAGACCGAGATAGTAGGGGTACTAGTCCAGCGTATGTCTAGCTATCCCGGGGGTGGAGATCGACATGTTCTGGGCACTAATCCGGTGTATATCTAGCTCGCCCGGAGGTGGAGACCGAGATGGTAGGGGTACCAATCCAGTGTATATCTAGCTATCCCGGGGGTGGAGATCGAGATGTTTAGGGCACTAATCCAGTGTATATCTAGCTCGCCCGTGGGTGGAGATCGAGATGGCAGGGGAACGGGTCCAGTGTATATCAAGCTCGCCCGTGGGTGGAGATCGAGATGGTCAGGCCACTAATCCAGTGTATATCTAGCTATCCCGTGGGTGGAGATCGAGATGTTTAGGGCACCAATCCAGTGTATATCTAGCTCGCCCGGGGGTGGAGATCGAGATTGAAGGGGTACAAATCCAGTGTATATTTAGCTAGCCCGGGGGTGGAGATCGAGATGGTAGGGGTACCAATCCAGTGTATATCTAACTATTCCGGGGATGGAGATCGAGATGTTTAGGGCCCTTATCCAGTGTATATCTAGCTCGCCCGGGGGTGGAGATCGAGATGGTAGGGGTACCAATCCAGTGTATATCTAGCTAGCCCGGGGGTGGAGATCGAGATGTTCAGGGCACTAATCAAGTGTATATCTAGCTAGCCCAGGGGTGGAGATCGAGATGGTCAGGGTACCAATCCAGTGTATATCTAGCTAGCCCGGGGATGGAGATCGAGATGTTCTGGGCACTAATCCAGTGTATATCTAGCTAGCCCGGGGATGGAGATCGAGATGGTAGGGGTACCAATCCATTGTATGTCTAGCTATCCCGGGGCTAGAGATCGAGATATTTAGGGCACTAATCCGGTGTATATCTAGCTATCCCGGGGATGGAGATCGAGATGTTCTGGGCACTAATCCAGTGTATATCTAACTAGCCCGGGGATGGAGATCGAGATGTTCTGGGCACTAATCCAGTGTAAATCTAGCTAGCCCGGGGATGGAGATCGAGATGTTTAGGGCACTAATCCGGTGTATATCTAGCTATTCCGTGGGTGGAGATCGAGATGGTAGGGGTACCAATCCAGTGTATATCTAGCTAGTCCGGGGCTGGAGATCGAGATGTTCTGGGCACTAATCCAGTGTCTATCTAGCTCGCCCCGGGGGTGGAGATCGAGATGTTCTGGGCACTAATCCAGTGTATATCTAGCTATCCCGGGGGTGGAGATCGAGATGTTTAGGGCACTAATCCAGTGTATATCAAGCTCGCCCCGGGGCTGAAAATCGAGATGTTCTGGGCACTAATCCAGTGTATATCTAGCTATCCCGGGGGTGAAGATAGAGATGTTTAGGGCACTAATCCAGTGTATATCTAGTTATCCCGGGGGTGGAGATCGAGATGGCAGGGGAACTGGTCCAGTGTATATCTAGCCATCCCGGGGTGGAGATCGAGATGTTTAGGGCACTAATCCAGTGTATATCAAGCTCGCCGAGAGGTTTATTTTATTTTCTCCTTAGTCTAGTATACATGCTGACACCGAGCAGGAACATATAGCTAATTTCAAATGAATTTAGTTACAGAATGGTGAACATTTCTCCTTCATAATCCTGTTAAGCCTGCAACTTTCTTTCTGAGGTCCTGCTGATAAGGATCCTCGCTACTTTTGTTCTTCCCAAAAATAAAGTGCTGGGCCATGTCGGGGGAGTATCTACTGGCGAGGGGTCGACGCCCATATTCCTCCGCCACCACCCGGATGTAGTGAGAAGCGTTGCCACAACATAGTCCCACATACTGCACGCCCAGGGATTTGGCTTCTCGGGCAAAGTCGGCAATTTCACTTCGTCCACAGGCATGCGCAGGAAGGTCAACCGGAAACGACATTGTACCTGCAAAAGACACATTGAAGCATACATGACTTACACTGAAACGATTTTCAGTGACGATCTTTTCAAGGATTACCGAGGACCTTCCGTGAAATCCGTGTCACTTCATTAAGCAATAAAATTAATTTGAATTTAACAACCCCACGCACAAAAATACGATTTTTATCTTTTATTTATCTGAACTATTTCTCTGACTTGGGCGGTGGTGCGGTCGTCTGATGTGCCGTAATTCTCTGTGCAGAGTTTTGTCCCTTAGATGTGTCAGAAATCTACTTTCGTCGGTTCGAGTCACACATTGGCCCTGATTGTGCTTCTGGATTGGCTAGCACCATACACCTTCGGCAGACTCGTGGGTTTTACCAAAATGGTAAAACATCAAAGGCCTGCATCACTTCGAGCTTCCTCCAACACTAAGCTAACGCGCATTGATATAAATGGTATTCTGTTTAAAGCGGCGTTAAACACACTCACTCACTCACCCAATCACCCACCCACCCCCTCACTCACTCACTCACTCAGGATTCATCGAAATATTCCCAACTAAAGCAGCGATCTATCTTAGAGTGAACCAATCCCGTGGTCTAGTAGACAGAGCGTCTGTCCGAGGAGGTCGGGGTTCGATCCCCGGCCGCGTCAAACAAAAAGACGTTAAAAGATGGTACTTGTTGCTACCCCGGCTGGCGCTCAACATTAATGGGCTAAAACAAGGAGTGGTCGGCACGGAGTCAGTATACTGTATCTGAGTTGGGTGTTCATGTTAAACTGTTGCATAGTATCTAAGCGGGCAAGCGCTATAAAACCGGCAATATTCCGAACTATTTCAAGCAGCCACACACACGAACGTGGAACTGGCAACTCCCTATATAATTGAAACAATCTTACGGCGACGTTAAACCTCTCCTCGCCAATCTTACTGTGTCAGCGCATCCTGACGCTGTTGCTCCATGCTCATACCATCAACCACTGGTTTGCTGTCTCGGTCCAATTCCTCTTTGCGGACTGGTGTACTCCGAGATAAGGTGAATGTACTCACTGACGTTATAAGCTGGAGCCCTCGACATGAAACAAGTTTGTAAACGTTCATAGCATTTCAACCACCTACCAGTCACTGGATCCTTGAGCGACTGGAACGTGGGCTGAGTCGAACACGTGCGGTATGTTACCGGAAGTGCCATAATTGGCCCCTATAAACAGCAGAAGGAATTTTGTTACATATAAGTAAAAAATATTCATCAAGTGAATTTTGGGAAAAAACAGAAAGTGGACGTTTCATTTAAGCATGTATTGAAAGGGCTTTAAGACATGTTAATTTGGCAAAAATCTAGTGCTGTCATCCATGTGGTATTACGAGTCATTGTCTGTACAATAACCAGGGTCACGATTGGCCAAGTCGTTTAAGGTGTCAAAATTCGAGTTATGCCCCTTTGGCCTGCCAGAATCCTATGATCGTTTGTTCAAATTCCAGACTCGTCCTGATCTGATTCTAATTCTTGGTTTCCGCGATACCCGTGCGCGAAGATTTCACCAAAGTGGTAAATGTCTAAGTTTCCATGGCTGTCCTGCTACATTAGGCTGGCACGCCGTGATATAACTGAAATACGGTTCAAAGCGTTAAACCCAACTCACTCACTCACTCACTCACTGACAATAGCCAGGGCTACCTTGCAGGCCTGTCTGATCTCCCTAATGAGAGGCAGCATCGTCTTGGGACCACGCCCACAGTTCAGTCCAACTGCCGCCGCTCCTGCTTCCTCGAGCCTGCGGCAGGCGACGCCATAAGCCAAACCGTCCGGAAGTTGTTCAGCCAAATGAGGTATTAAACTAATGGCGGCCGGAAGTCCTGGAACAAAGTTGGATCTGGTTTCAGATCTCCGAACAAATGACAGCTTAATATTGATGATGTATTGGGAATGCGATTATTAAAATTTTCATTTTATCAAAACGTAAACTCTATATAATCTCGGGTTGTTTGGGTAACCTTGTGATCAAGCCGAAGGTTTCGATAGTCTCACCATTGCCATATTTGTTAACACACTCGAGAGCAAGCATCGCCTCTCCCAGCTCGCTGAAGGTTTCTCCAACAATGTAGTCCGCTCCTTCTTCTACTGCCCACTTGATTTGTTCCTGATAGAAGACAACATTATTCAAAGGTTGCACCCCTAACTGACGTATTATCCCCAACCGTATTCTACCTACAACTGGCATTTCAGAAGCTTACTGTGTTGACATTTTATCTGAAGGAGACATCAGCCATGCAGAGTTATACCCCTTGGCTGCGATGAATCTCAATTCAATTCCAAGGAGCTGTGAGTTGCATTCCTCAGCTGATCGTGCTTTCGAATCCCAGGTTTGCTTTAATAATGATTATTCGTAGTCATCACCGTGCCAGATTGCCCTAAGGGACCGACCATTTTTTTTTTATATAATTATTATTTTTTTTTTTGGGGGGGGGGGGGGGGGGGGGGGTCATGGCACACACACGCTCCCACACTTACTTACATTCCCACTCATCAGATTGGTTTCTTCGCAATCACTTTAAACATGGCTTCCGTCGACTCGCACTCACTTTAAACATGGCTTCCATCGTCTCGCACTTACTTTAAACATGGCTTCCGTCGTCTCTCACACAGTTTAACCATGGCCTCCGTCGTCTCGCACTCGCTTTAAACATGGCTTCCGTTGTCTCGCACTTACTTTAAACATGGCTTCGAACGTCTCGCATTCACTTAAATCGTGACTTCCATCGTCTCGCACTCAAATTAAACATGACTTCCATCGCCTCGCACTCACTTTAAACATGGCTCCAGTCGTCTCGCACTCACTTTAAACATGGCCTCCATCGTCTCGCACTCACATTAAACATGGCTTCCATCGTCTCGCACTCACTTTAAACATGGCCTCCGTCATCTCAATCGCTTCCTTGTTATCCTTCCTGTACACCGTCGTGTTGCAGAGATTTCCCGCCATCAGTGTCCCGGTGTCGTCTGCCACCTGCCTCGCGATCCTCAACGCGTCTCTGTTCAACTTCTCAAGGTCACCTTCACGGCCGACAACTCTGAGTTTCTCTCTGTGACCGTAGTACTGTTGAACAAATGCAATACTGTTTAGACGAAGGAACTTCATTAAGTGTGTGTAAGTTCCTGCTTGAATATACCTACAACAATATTAATTGAATAATTTTTTTAGTATTTCCGTTGGATCTTTTCATAAAACATTTAACCGCCTCCTATGTCTAGTGGATTGAAGGTCTGCCAGTAGAGCGAAAGGTCAGATGCTTCGATCCCCTGGCCGCGTCATACCAAAAGTCGTTCAAAAGATGGCAAACCCTTGAAGATCCGCGTTAGAATGGGTCTTCAGCAACCCATGCTTGCCGTAAGAGGCGACTAACGGGATCGGCTGGTCAGGCTAGCTGACTTAGTTGATACATGTCTTCGCACCCCGATTGCGTGGATGGATGCTCATGGTGTCAATCGCTGGATTGTCTGGTCCCGACTCGATTCATTACAGGCCGCCGTCATATAGCTGGAATATTAAACAACAAACAAACAAACAAGCACGAGATGGTACTTGTTCTTACCCTGCCTTGTGCTCGGCAATAAGGGAATAAAACAAAAAATTGGTCGGCTGAAAGTACTGGAATACTAGTATCCATCTTAAAACTGCGGCATGGTATCTCAGTGGGCTAACACTTTAAAACCAGAAGTTATCTGGACTAGTATGCATTAACGTCGCTATATGTAATAATCTTGAACGCGATGTCCCTAACCTTATTAGACAATTGATGGAAATGAGACTGTGATTTTTATTAATGAACGATACATCACAGTAATGGAAAACAAATAATTCTTCTACCGTGAAAGCTAAACAGACGTCACTTCCGGCGTTGACAAATTCTTCGTGGAGACTTTTCACCATGTCCGGTTTTTCAATGACGACTTCCGGTACAAATGCTCCCGCTTTCAGCAAGCCTCTTCTCTCAAATTCAAACACATATCCCTCCGCCACAACAACGTCCTCTTTGTCTTGTAGACGCTGAAGCAGACCTTTAAAATAAAGAATCAGATTATAAATCCAAGTTTACATTGAACTGATGTATATTATGTTATTATAGACTTTTAAGGAAGTCAGTACCTGTTTTTAGGGATCACTTTAAGGGAGCCAATGAAAGCGGGAAATTTTTCCATCATATAATAAATGACGTTAGTATCCCCTGCTACGGTATGGCTGAAATGTTGCTGAAGGTGGCTTAAAATAACACTCGCCCATCTATATTCAAACAGTATAACTAATTGTATGGCGCCTAAATTTATTTTTTTCATTTCATTTCTTTTTTTTCGATAATACTTTTTACATGAACAAAATATGGATAAAAACAAGTAAAGCCTCAAACGAATCAGCATTCCCACGGCTGGCTATCGGTTTGCATACCAGGTTAGATCAGTGTTTAATATAGGATTGGTCAGCACAATAACGGTTGTCCACAGCCTGTTCCACTTGAGCCTCATGTCTCATTTAATTCTTTTACTCCGATACTGTAGCTCTCTGGGTCCAATCTAAATTGACATGTGCGTGGTGTCATCGTTTGCCAGGAGTCTTTCTGTGTGGCGTAAAGGCAGCAAACAAACACTTACCTTCTCATGCAAATTGTGTGAGGGCGGGTTCTACTGGTAGAGCGGGATGTGCTTACCATTTTTGCGAACATCTGCGTCATCACTGATTTCTAGTGATCCATAAATATTATTTTAAGATAAACCACTATTTGTTCTTTGATGCCCAATGGAATCTGTTTCGGCAGATAATCGAGACTGATTTATCTCTGGCGTTTTATATTCTTGACACAGATGTAAGCTTTCTGAAACAATTCGGCTTTATATTTTTTGTCACGTCGAATTCGTTGTGTACAAGAGGAAACCTGCACAGATATTACATCGATGGTATTTCCTCTTGAATTTAGATGCCATGGCGCACATAAACTACATTGTTAGCAAAATATCCACAATACACTGATGAGTATTTATTTATATACATTCGGAAATTGTCGTTTTAGTTCGTGTTCAAGACACAGAAATCAGATATGCTGGTCAAAATGCATCGCTCTCTCGTGCAGAGACTTTGCAGACCTGGACACTGATTGGTAATTAGAGAGTTCACCTACTTCGTGTCAGAGTAGAACAATTGATTTTAATGAGACGACACTTCCCCTCATTGGGTAGTTGGTTGGTTTGTTGTTTAGCACCGCACACAGCAATATTCCAGCTATGTGACGGCGGTCTGTGTATAATCGAGTCTGGACCTGACAATCCAGTGATTGATATCATGAGCATCGATCCACGCAATTGGGATCGATGACATGCATCAACCAAGTCAGCGAACCTGATTACCCGATCCCGTTAGTTGCCTCTTACATGAGATAGGACAAGCCGTGAATAGTGTTTTAAACGTCACTCAACTCACCCATGCATATAGAGATACAAAAAATACAGAAAACCAAACACTGAATACACAATAAAATATACAGGTACCTTTCGCCGGCATTTTGACTGCAAAGATTGGGTTATGTTCGGTAAAACAAGAACAAGGCTTCTTCGGTCACCTTCTAAAACAGACTATCAAGTATTCTAAATAGTTGGGGACGTGGTTATGCATATGAAATCTAACCAGGTGTTTATTTCTCATGGCCCTTGTTTGAAATATGCTTACACAGCCTCGATTATCCAGAGTGTTTTTCTCATGGCCCTTGGTTGAAATATGCTTACACAGCCTCGATTACCCAGAGTGTTAGTGTTTGTTCTATTTCGCTTACTCTGTACTCATTATCAACCATTGCTTTGTTTTAGACCCGATCATAAAAATAATTGTCCAGTCAAATACTTTTCATGAGCGAAGGAATGGTGTGATGGGGGTTGCTTCAGCAGCTGATATGTAGCTTTGAAAAGGCCCAGGGTATTCGCCGTAATGGAAGGAAGATATTAAAAGTCTGAATAACCAAGTATGATAGAGCGTCTGCCCGAAGAGCGGAAGGTCAGTGATTCGAATCTGGCCGCGTCATACCAAACGATGTTAAAAATGGTACTTGTTGTTACCCTGCTTGGCGCTAGACATGAAGGTGATAGAACAAGTATTGGTCGGCTCGGAGTATCACCACTTTGGTTAAACCCACTAGCATTACCATATGGTGGCGACAAACCTGAAAACATAATAAGGGCGAATGTGGATTCCAACCGACGACCATCGAAATATACTCTTCCAAAAAAGAAACTTGACATAGATGTAGAACCACTTTTTGCCAAATATCTAAAATAATTACATTAAATGAGAACCAAATAAGTCAAAGAGAAAGATGTTGTGTCTATAATTCGCGAAAACACATTCAAAGCACATAAACGTAGCGTTTGGGGATCAATTTTACAGCCTGTTCCAAACGCAACCGCTTGTAAAAAACGTGCAGCACAGGATCCTGCATTTAGGCATGCAGGCCCCCCTGCTGAATGGGTATAAAAATCCACATCAACGGCTGTTCATACAGTCCTTATAACGGCAGTAGAGGCGGTGACAGAATGCCAAGACTGAATGTAGCTCAACGGAACAACGCCATTGGGAGATTACAAGCTGGAGCAACTCAGCAAGAAGTGGCCAGGCACTTTGGCGTATCCAGACAGACAATCTCCGCACTGTGGACCCCATACAACAACACCAACAGAGTTGACGACAGACCAAGGTCAGGAAGACCAAGGGTGACAACCCAAGCACAAGATCAATACATCCGGCTGCGACACCTCCGAGACCGCACTACCACAGCCACGTCTACATCCACACAGATCCCTGGGGTACGCAGAATATCAGATCAAACGGTACGCAACAGACTAAGGGAGGCTGCACTTTTTGCACCAAGACCTTTTCGACGTCATGTATTGACCCCACGTCATCTGGCGGACCGTCTGCTTTGGTGCCAACAGAGGGTTAGATGGACACGTGCAAGGTGGAGAAATGTACTGTTTACTGACGAGTCCCGTTTCCTGCTCACACGTGCTGATGGGCGCGCACGTGTCTACAGACGTCGGGGTGAACGTTACGCCCCCAACTGTGTGCAGCAGGTTGTCCCATTTGGCGGCGGGAGTGTCATTGTATGGGCCGGAATTCATCACGGTAGTAGGACGCCTCTCGTGCATGTGGCAGCCGTATTGACACGTGTGCGTTACAGCGACTTGATCCTACAGCCTTACGTTCTTCCTCACGTCAACGTTCATGGCGGACAGTTCCAGCAGGACAACGCTCGACCGCATATGTCAGGACTTCTTACAGCACAACAACATCCAGACATTACCGTGGCCAGCCCGGTCACCAGATTTGTCCCCGATTGAGCATCTGTGGGACGAGTTGGATCGACGCGTTCGCAGAAGGAATCCACCGCCCCAAACACCTTCTAACACGATAACTGTGACCTGAGGGATCAACACGGCACAAAGACATTGTGCAGCATCCCTTTCTATTGATGCAAGTACCTACACTGTCATAAAGCGCAGATGTGTAACCAAGAAGGTAAAACAAATTGTAATTTGCATGTGGTACCTAAGAAACAGGAATGAGAATATTGCACATTTCACTTTAACTATTATTGCCAAATAAAAGTTTGTTTTGTTTTTTTGTTATTTAACGCCGCACTCAGCAATATTTCAGCTAAATGACGGCGGTCTGTAAATAAACGAGTCAGGACAATCCAGTGATTAACATCATGAGAATCGATTCAAGCAATTGGGATACGATGACATGCATCAACCAAGTAGGCGAGCCTGGCCACCCGACCCCGTGAGTAGCCTCTTACGACAAGCATAGTCGCCTTTTACGGTAAGCATGGGTTGCTGAAGACCTTTTCTGAAGCGGATCTTTTACAACAATGATGTCCAGAAACATGTGTTATTGTTTTCAAGGATCATGGGAACATGTTGACACGATCATAGTAATATACATGACACTGTTGACATTGCTATATCTACAGTGGTAAAGTTATTCTTTCATAATTAATATTTTCAAAGTAATAGCTACATTGTTGTAATGTTATTTTATGATGACGTAGATCAGTGGAGACGTAGAGATATTGTTAACACTGAAACCCACAACGTTGGTTTGTTGGTTGGTTGGCTTGTTGTTTAACGCCGCACTCAGCAATATTCTAGCTATATGACGGCGGTCTGTAAATAATCGAGTCTGGACCAGACAATCCAGCGATTGATATCATGAGCATCGATCCACGCAATTGGGATCGATGACCGTGCATCAACCAAGTCAGCGAGCCTCACTACCCGATCCCGTTATTCGCCTTTTGCGACAAGTATAGTCGCCTTTTACTCATATGTGAGTGCGGGTTTTTTAAGCATGAACAATACTTCTCTTTGAGAGTTCCCTCCCTTATTCACACAATTATTCCTCTCTCCAAAAGTGGTCAACGTTTCCCTCATTCCCTGCAGGCCTGTCCCTGTCCCTCTCGACAGACAGACCCGGTATACGGAACTCGGTCATTTTTTTACCGCAACGAAATGCTGTATGGGGGAAATAGGTCGGATAGCCCAAGAATGGTACCCCGCCTTTCGCCTCCAAGCGCCTGCAGGCGAGGAGCGCAAGCGTTCAAGGGCAGGTAAACCAGTCCAGGACAGAACTTGACTCTCCATGATTGTGCCGAATAACGAAAACATATTAAAGTGTAATAATTTGCAGTTAGGAATGTTTTTACAAATATTTTCATAATATTTATGTATTTCGTATGTACGCATATCATTATACATATGTAAAACAAAAATATCTTTTAAAAGTTTGTTTACATCTTTCCAACTATTACTCATCCCCGTGTAACTTTGTCAAACCAAAAAAACAAATAAAGCACGGCGTCTGGCGCTGTGCAATGAAACCAGAACAATGTAGGTTAACAACAGAGAACGTTGTCCAGGGTCAGGCGATATAGGCCAAGTGTCAGACAACAGATTATATCTTGTGCATAGGCCGCACTATCAACGTCCGTCGCTCCTGTTACTGAACTGCAAAGCTTCGGCCGATAACACCTTGCACAATACCCATATCAGTCTGGAAGCTGACCTTTCCTAACAACTTGATAAATATACATGTATTATGCAAAAATAAGTTGAAGCATAGTTTGATTTGAGGTGAAACTACAGGAAATATACAAATGCCTGGCAATGTTTGTTTATTTGTTTCTTGTTTAACGCCGCACTCAGCAATACTGCAGCTATATGACGGCGGTCTGTAAAGAATCGAGTCGGGACCAGACAATCCACTGACTGACTTCATGAGCATCGACCAACGCAACTGGGATGCGGGTATAATGTATCGGTAACTCTCCAACTCTCCCATCCACTATGGTCTGAGTGAGTGAATGACTAGGGTTTTATTCTACCCCGGATCTTCACGGGTCCATTTAATCAATAAGGAAGCAGCATCTTGGATCATGCGACGTTTGCAACGTGCTATACGTTTATCTGCCACAGGCTTTTTGCAGGTGGGCACACGTCAGAATATTGTTGCCCAAACGCTGCATGTTTCTCAATATGTCAACACACGCATAACGTCGAGGATCGACACCGCTCTGGACGCCCAAGGGCGACAATTCAAGCCAAGGATATATAAGTCAGAACGATGGCGTTAAGGTGAGGTGAGGTGAAATGTTTAACGTCGCGTCTAAGATTATTGCACTTATATAGCGACGTGCATGTACGTGTGTGTGTTTGTGTGGCTGCTTGTACTAGTTCGGACTGATGCCGATTTATAGTGCTAGCTTACTGAGATACCATGCCGCAGTTTAACATGAATACCCAACTCAGACACAGTATACTGACTCCGAGCCGACCAGTCCTTGTTTTAGCCCCTTAATGCCGAGCGCCAGACAGGGTAACAACAAGTACCATCTTTTAACGTCTTTTGGTATGACGCGGCCGGGGAACGAACCCCGACCTTCCGCTCTCCGGGCGGACGCTTTACCACTAGACCACGGAGGCGGTCGATGGCGATAAGAAATCGGCTTCAAACTGCCACTCAGATAAGGGACCGGTTGTAACAGGCAACCGGAATAAGAGTGCAAGCCTGGACAGTGCTCAATCGTCTGCATAGTTGGCATTTGCATGCACGACGTCCACGTGTCATCCCACAACTTACTGCACGTCATTTGCATCAGAGGCGTCAGTGGAGTTGGGAACGGCATAATGGTATGGGGTGGCATCACTATGACTGGTCGAACTGTCGAATTGTTGATGGCAGAGTCACAGGCCAGTACTATCGGGAAAACATCATTGCACCACTCTAGGTGCCATTTGCACAACGTGTTGGGCAACGCTTCAACTTTCAAGAGGATATTGCAAGTGCGTATACTATCGTGCCAGGATTGTGAGTGAGTGAGTTGGGTTTAACGCCGCTTTTAACATTATTCCAGTTATATCACGGCGTGTCAGCTTAATGTGGGAGAAAAGCCCGAAGTGATGCAGGTGTCATACGTTTACCACTTGGTGAAACCCACGAGCACGGGTATGGTGCTGACAAACCTAGAAACATAATTTGGGCGAACCGGGATTCGAACCCATAATCCTAGGTTTCTGGCGTGCCCAAGGGACGCAATTCTGCATAGCGAATCGCGGCGCCTCAGAC